TTCGAAACCGACACAGCCCTTGCGAGCATGGATCTAAGTGTGTTTTGCAACAGGGTCCCACTGCGGTCTGTTGTGTGATCTCAGTTTTTAGCACAGGCAAAGGGAGATACTTCACAGGTTCCTCCACCTTTCTTGAAATCCTACTGTTACGCCGTTTGCTCGAGATAACTGACATTATGCCGCAGGGCGTACTGATTTCCAATCAGAATGTCATGACGTGCTGCTAGTGTAATCACATGCGTTCCAAGTTTTAGCCAACTGAGTAATTCATTCGCGGTCTTTCTCTCCTTCCTAGGTTTTCTCTTTCTAGGTCTTCTGTTCGTTGGTAGAGGCTTGTTAGGTTTCAGGTTAAGTTTTAGTCAAGGGAACGCCGATTTCGGCTTTTTGGGTGTCTGGCTATGTGCCTTTCAACCACCCCCACACGCACCCCCTTTCTCTCTTGGCTTTCTTCCGTTTGTTAGGTCTTTTCTTGAGGCTTGTTAGGTTGCTGTTTAGGCTCGTTTAGTCGATCCACACCATCCCGACCCCGCCCCCCACCCCCCCGGCTTTCGTTCTTTCCTGCTTTCGTTTCTCTTTCTTTGCTTTTCTTCGTTCTAGAGGCGTTTTAGGTTTGTAACCAGGTTTTTTCAGTCAAGTGCCTTCCATTTTTACAATGGTGCACCGAATACAGCATTGTGTGTGTGTCAACTTCAGTTTCCAAGGAGCTCTGTCACATTTTGTACAGTTCGGCAGGGGGCATGGCAGCTGTTTCCCTAGCCATGCCAACGAAGCTATGGGATTCAGCCAGAGGGGTATGTGTACGGACATTCCGGTACCTGCGAATTTTAATCCTGTCTTCCTTCTTTGTGAACTGTTGACAAAGCTGTGACTCCTATCTTCGCGTAAAGTGCAAATGAGTCCTTGTTGAAACCTTCTGTTGCACCGACTCTTCACGTTTGCAGTTCTGCAAGTCAAACGCAAAGTATTAACTCACTGGAGTTCCAAACTGACACAGCTCTTGCGAGCATGGATCTAAGTGTGTGTGTGTGTGTCCGTTTCAGTGTGGCTGTCGGCACGACATGTTTCACCTAAAAGTGCTGCCCAGGTGGGTGGCTGTTCAATGTTTTGACTGAAGGCCTGAGCACCCACCTGCTTGTTTCGGAGTTCAATGGAATTCAGAGGCCACCCTGCATCCTGTCGGAAAATTCGAATGGGATCTATATACATCCATGTCAAATCTCAGTAGAATGAGTTGCAAGATAGATTGTTGAAAAACAATCTCCTGGCATCTCCTGGCAGGAATCCGAATACGTTCTGAACAACATTGGACAACTCTTTGAACCCCAAACATAACCCAACCACTTTCTCGGTATCCGCATTGCATGGAGACAGGAAAGACCCAAATAACAGATGTTCCAGTATGTACAGTTTTCGGCGTGCCGAACTTGGAGGAAGTCGGGGTGCCCCTGTCACATCCACTCACTTAGCGGACTTCCTTGGGCCTGGTATATGAACAATATGCAATGGCCTCCAACCTAGAAGCGATGGCCTCCAACCTACCAGCAATGGCCAACATCATTGAACAATCCTTTGAGAATCTTTGAGATCTTCCAGGCAGGAGCAGGAACCCGATTCTCGGTTCGACAGCATACAACAGCACGCGCTTTGCCGAAAAAAGGAGTCAGAAGATCTGAAAGGAGGTCAGGGTTGATGCTTCTAGGACGGCTCCGAATTAGAGCAACTCCAGGACAAGATCCTTTTTTTTGTTTGGCATGCTTGTGAGATGGCTTTGATGGTCCAGATCAAGTGCATCGAGCCCTGTCGTCAGAATTTGAGGTTTGGGACCACCAAAAGCGCTTGAAGGCCTGTTCAAGCGATTGGATGTGGATTTTGGAGAAGTGCAGACCTAGGTATTTCATTGTACTTCAGTTTATTTCAGCCATGGTTTCCACCAGCATCCTCAGAAGATGCTTGAACGAAGGGAAAGCATAATTAATTGCAAGAACTGGGTTGGTGCCTTCCCAAGAAAGTCGTGCCTTCATTAAGGTGCTGCTGGGTTTTGCAAACCTAGATTAGTGTATTTATTGACTCAAGTCTCAGCTTCCTTGTAATTAGTCATTCCCCATTTGATGGCCATGGATGAGTTGCAGGCATCCTTTCCAATCGTTTTCCCAAGCTTGGGAGAAACACAGAAACAGACCCAAATGCATGTAGAATTCGGAGTTGAACTGCAGCTCTTTCACAGCACTTCCACTCGCCCAAACCGTGTTTGCAGGATATTATTGGGCAACATGTCCACTCTTTGTTACAGGCCTGAGCTGGAAAAATCTGAGAATGTGGCTTCGGCCATTTGAAATGATAGTGTAGATCCTGGGAAAGCCAGCTCTAACATGATGTTAGAGCTACACTCACTCCGAATAAACAGCCTATAACAGGTCCTGCCAAGTGGCCCTCGAACTGGTACAAGAAGTGTGAACAGAAATCCCTGCAAAACTAGTTAACTAACTAGCTCCTCCTCTAATTTTTTTATTGGGGAGTCATAAGAATTAGTTGATCCAGCCTTTGCTGAGCCCAGTCACACCAGAGCCAACCCTTCACGGGCCGCGTTGTTGCGGGGCCGCCTGAGACTCCTGAGCCATGATTCTGCGCAAAGAGCTGCGACCCTTCCAGTGGCTTTGGCATTTTCTGCTGCACGATGGTGTTGGGCGCCTACTGCTGGGCACATCGATGCTGGTGCCACACTCAGACATGGCCAATGACCAGCCTAGCTTAAATGGAGGTGAAGTGGCAATTGTATACAATAGTTGAAGTGGCTTAGTCAACGGGGCGATGGTGGATATTGCATCAGTGTTTCGTATGTGTTGCTTAAACATAGGGACGGACCACTTCGTCACCAACCCAGTTCACGTCGCCAATCCCGTTCATACTCCGAATGTATTATATACCATTATATAGCTACCAGGCAAACCGCAAACAAGCAAAAAGATATCTTTTTGAACAAAAGATTTCTTTTTGTTTTCGCGGTTGTGAAGGAAGAGGGAAAGAAAAGAAAACCCGGACTAAGAAAAGAAAACCCGGACTCGGACGAGAATCCTGACATGAGTGGATGCGCTGCCATTTTTGTTCAAGCGTGGGCAATGCTGCGCGTGCATGCTTCCGTCATCCTGGCTTGTTTCGCGGGGGAGTGCGCAAGTGCAGCGTTTGACGCAGCCGTCTTGATGCAGCTTGAAGCAGCTGTGTTTGAAGCAGCTATATGTTTGCGCAGCTATGTTTCATGCACCGTGCGCTATGCAGCCACGCTTGCTCCAGTCTAGGCGCTGCTCTCTTGCCCCTCATGGTTCCAGCAGATGAAGGGGTCTTTGCTGCCTTCGAAGGCCTGCGGGAGGAGTGGGACAACCACCGTAAAAACTATCCTTTCAGTGACTGTGGAGCAAACCCGCGCTGGGCCCGCACAGAAGGCAGCGCGGCGGCTTCTGCACCATGGGATTCTCTGCAGCCTTTTACTGCCTTGCTCCCGGCTCCACATGGCTCACCAGAGAAACTGTACCGCCCCGACATCTGGCATAATTGGCATCTCGGCCACGGCCGGTATTTCTTGTCTTCAGCGTTCATCATACTTGGTGGTTCGTTTCATTGTGGCACTTGCAACTTAGTTAAGACACTTATAGGACTTAAGCAACTTGTAAGTAGTACTTAGGGAACTTAGGTTTTATTAGTTTCTTAATTATAACCGTAAGTTGTATAAATTACTTGTAACTAACTTATAAGTTCTGTAAGTTCCTGGACGACCAAAAGTATAGTCTCAGACAAGTTTTTTAAAAAATTAGAAAACCTAAATGTTCTTCTTGAGATGGGCAGGCAGCTGTGAGAAAAACTAAGTGTTCGTTTGCAGATCCACGTGCCTTCGTGTCAGACCGCATGAAGCGCAGCCATAGCAAACACTCCCTCAACACCTCAAGCTGGAAGTCTGCATCTTTCTCAAACCAAGGCATGACAACCATGATGTTGGCCACGCTCATCCGAACATGTTCTGCGCACAGGCTGGTCATGTCTACCAAAACTGCTCTTGTTCTTTGAACTTCAATGGCAACTGATGTTCAATGATTGTTTCTTCAGCTGGATTCAGCTCAACCCTTTGAAAAATATACAGGGGTTACATATAGGTTGGCTGGTGGTCAATTGATGGGCTAGATCTAGGTTGGCTGGCGGCCCATTGGGCCGCCCAGATGTGTTGGTCAATTGATGGGCTAGATCTAGGTTGGCTGGCGGCCCATTGGGCCGCCCAGATGTGTTGGCTGGCGGCCCCAGTGGAAAAATACCATATACTCTGGACCTTATGCAAAGGGTCCTGTACCAAAAGTACTAGTCCTTGAAAAGCAGTGCATCAAACATAAACCTTGATTCATTTGCCATTGAACCATTCAAAACAGAACTACCATAGCTTCACCTGATATATCTAAATATTCGGGTTGCTGACCAACAACTTTCACACACATAAAATTTGACTAGCCGATTGTTTTCACATATCACGGAATCACAAATGTATAAAAATGTATAAAAATGTATAAAAATGTATGAATCAAAGCGGACCTAAATTTATACATGTATAAATCAAAAAAATATCAATTTATACATGTATAAATCACCCCATTTTCAATTTATACATGTATAAATTGATAACGAAATCGATTTATACATGTATAAAAATGTATAAAAATGTATAAATTCAATTTCTGACTTTTAAGCATTTTGCTTGTCATGCGAGTAGCTTTTATCAAATAGAATTCATCTCAGAGTTGCCAACCCCACCACCTCATGAGTTTAGACATTTCCTGACTCCCTGATTTTTTTAAAAAAATCCAGGAGTCAGGATTTAAGTTTTGCTGATTGAGAGCTTTGCTGATTGAGTGCAACAATGCTTTTTGTTTGCTGGCGTTTGCTGGCTCCAAGTGTGTGCTGCTCATGCGACGCGTCCTCAGCTGCCGGTACTGCTGAAGATGGAGCCTGTGCAGCCTAGGAGGATGACGTATGCGGAGCAGCTGGAGGCAATGCGGCCACCTTGCGGGTTTTGCATCCTGGCGGACGGGACCATCCTGCTGTCCAATCGGCCGGAGACCTACACGGCGGAGATGGTGGTTGATGCCTATGAGGCATGGCGAAAGATGAAGGCAAATGGCTTAGTGCGTGAGACCCGACCTGCGGCTCAATGAGTCTATTATTGAAACAAGAGCGACATCCATCATCTGCTCAAGATGGCACGCGGTTCAATGTATATTTTTTTGCAAGAGACACAACCTGCGGCTCAATGAGCCGCATGTTTTTTATACCGGAGCAACATCCATCATGAGTCAGCCATGACCATGACAAGACGGCATACGGCTCAGTGAGCTGCGTGATGAACATGCGATCGGAGCATGAACTCGATTTCAAGTTTAAGAATCAAAGTGCGAAAAAAAGCACGATTTGATCAGTTTTGGTGTAAATTAGAAAAACTTGAAATTTTATATCTCAAAAAAGTTAAGTTCCCTAAGTTAGTTATAACTTATTTTTGACTAGTTTTTGATAATCTAGATATAGAACTTAGAAATTTCTAACTTTTGCTAACTAACTTGCAAGTGCCACATCTTAACATAAAAACTTGTGCTAGTTACAGAACTTGTAACCCCTTCGTAACTAAGTTACCAACCACTTACAAGATACTTACAAGTTCCCTAGCCAAAAATGAACCACCAAGTAGTCCGCAGCCTTTGGAATGAAGAATCTTTGCACGATGGCTTTGCTGGCATGACGTGTTCGTGGAGAGCCTTTTGCCGCCTCAAGAAAGTCAAGCCTCCTTTGAGCAAACCGACAAAGGAGATCTGTGGCTACACAGCGTTTTTGGATTGGCCTGAGGGAGGTTGGCAGAAGGGTTCAACGACAACTTTGCTGTGCGACGCTTGTTCTTTGATCTCGTATCCATGCATGTTCTTTGTTCCGCGGTTTTGGTTGGTAAGTGCGTCCCGAGTTCAATTGCTGAGGAATTCCTTGAAAGTGCTTTGATGCAGCCTGATCGCGCGGAGCTGGTGCTGCTTGACAGGCGCCTTGCCTTGATATTGCTTGTGGCAAAAAGCATAAACTCTCTTGCATGCGCAAGCTGTATGGCGCTGGCGCTTGGCTCCGAGATGATGAAGCCGCTGGCATTGCTGCTGATGGGCTGTGTGCCTGCAGAGGCTACAGGGCGTTGGCGACAGAATCTCTTGAACGTGGTGAGCCCCGCTTCCCTCTACATTCGAAATTCCACATGCTTGTGCACACCTTCCGTAACATGGAGCTGGATGCAAAGAAGTTGACCTGGCAGGAGTCGCCGATGTGTGACAACTGCCAGATGGATGAGGGCTTTGTGGGGCAACTTGCCCGATACAGCCGACGTGTTTCACCAAAGTCAACCATCCACAGGATGTTGGATGTATACTTGACGTCTCTATGGCGGTTGTGGCGGACTTGACCACAGTGAACCTGGTGGAAAAACATGCACGAGGGCCAGGGTTGCCATGGGAGTGTTTCAACATCCGGTAGGGGTCAGACACCACCTACTAATAGAAAACAGTGAAAAGAAAAGAAAAACCGGACCAAGAAAAAAAAACCGGACTAAGAAAGGAATACCCGGACTAACCCGGAGAACCCGGAGAAAGAAAACTATTTCCGGAAAAGATTTCTTTTTTTCAAAAAGATTTCTTTTCGTGGTTTTCAGGTTTGACTGGTATTTAAAACATGCCAATTGTATACATTACACAGTATATATATTATGCCAATGCATATTTATCATTTTGGGTCCACCATTTGGGTTCAACTCTTGCATGCACCTTCAACCCAACAACTTAACATATACCTTATTAACTCACCCGACTCACCCTCCCGAAACGAACGTGAAGCATTTCCCTGAGGTCATGGTGAACATGTTGGGCCACTTCCTCCTATCCCTCTTCCCTGGCATCTTGGTTTGAAGCATCCATTGGGGCATGTTGGGGCCAGACCGAGGACCTTCCTGTCGGGGTGTCCTAGCTGTAGATCCACGTAGGTAGTGTGTGTGTTTTTTGGGCAGGTGACCCCGAGTTCCGGTGTCGGTGCTTGCACTCAACCTTGGCTTTTGAAAAAGCTTGATGACCTGTGAGCACTGTGAGCCTGTTGAATTTGGGGTGCCCGTTGCCTGGGGGTATTCCATTGGAAACAATCAAATTTAACGCTCCGTTTGGAAACGGCGGGCTTTTCCCTGGGGGAAGAAGAAACTGGTTTGGACTGTCGACACTTTGGAGGATTCACAAAGAAGCCTTGAACTGCATCGAAGAACTGTCCAGTAAGCAAGCACGGTTCAATTCAAGGACCTGCGTTCTTGGTAAAGGAATTCTTGCGACAGCGAGGAGATCCCTCCACTTTAGAGTTTATGTGGCAAACGAATCATGCTTAGATCAACAGTATCGGTAATACGGAGAAAGTCCACCAATTGTCATTGCCCATACTTGGCCCCTCCTGGGAACCCTCACAGGGACATCTAGAGCTTGATACTAGGGACATCTAAGGACATCTAGCTTTGCAAGAACCTGATCACTCAGACCATGTGCCTACCCCAAGGCCATCCAACGCCTGCGTCGCGCCAGGAGGTGTGGCAAATTTGCTGGGAAGAACTGGGTGGATCGCCGCACTTGGAGACCTGGCGGAGATGTGACCCCTGCCACTGTTCAGTCAAAAGCAAACGATGCTGGTAGACTAGTCGAGTCGGATGCTGGTAGATATCCGGATTCCCACAACAAGAATGGTATTTGCAGGACAACAAGTTCTTCGGATCCTTCAGGTATAGATTGTATATATATATATTCTTCACATGTGGCATGCGTGACCGTGGCATGTTCTTGGCTGCGTCTCAACATGATTTCTCGTTTGGAGGGCTTCTTCAAAGTTCATAGCCCCTCGTGTCCTGTCTTCAACATCGCCGAGGCCTTGGCCTATTCCTCTACGTCTCCCTGCGGCGCGAGCAGGTGAAGGCCTATGTTGGCACCGGGGAAGCCTTGCTTCTTGGAATCAACTGGAGCAGATGGCGAACAGGGGGAGCTGTGGACACACTCACTACTAGCACAACTGATGTGGTAATTACAAGTGCCCACACCAAAAACAAGGAAGTGGGACCTCCATTGTTGCAAGCGCGTGCAAAGAGCTTTTTGAATAGCTCAATGTGAGGCTTTGGGGTGAGTACATGGCCTCGTAAGGAAGTACACAGCTCTGGGCTGTTGTGAACCACCATTTGCACGGACGCGTTGCGAGAGGGTGACAGGTTGGTAGAGGGTCGGCCGGTCGGCCAATCTTTTCGGGCTTTGCAATCTGTTCCTACTTGCTCATGGCTTGGGAACAATCACAAGATCATGATCTCCATTAAACAGGCAAGAATGTGATTCCCAGCTATCGGTCGTGTAAAATCGGGAGATCTCCGAAGCTTGGAGACCAGTCCACCCAGCCATGGTGTGGGAAAATCTCCCTATTCAAATACACACCCAAATTCTTCTGGACATCAATGGTTATTTTGACTTCAGTCAATTCTATGGATATTCCACGGCTAAGTTCAAATTCGATATATTATTGTTAGTTTGAGTTCAATTCGATATGTTGAAGTTCTGTGGATATGTGGCATTATCGAGGTCACCGAAGCAATCAAACAGGTCACGGCCCAGGCCGGTGTGTTCTTTCGTCCAGGCGTCGGGTCTATTCGAAGATGCCTTCGGCTCAGCGGCCGCCGAAGCCACCAGTCTGGGCCTATGGCGGGAATTGGCAGTTTATGCCATGGATGCTCTACAATCTGCCTGGGATCCCAGCAACTTCTGAACTGAGACTAAGTGGATGCAACTTCTTGAGCTTAATCTGTCTGGTTTTCGCGTTGGAACCTTGGACGTGTGCGGGATCGGAGCGTGGCTTGATCTGAGCCCCTGTCCGGTGCGTCGGACACGGTCTCGCTTTTGGGGTCACAGGTTGGGTGTGCGGAGGCTGGCTGTTCTGCCTGGGAGCTGCGTGGGCTTGCATGGCAAAGAAAGGAGACCGACTGGACATCCATGGAAGTTCAATGAAAGCCCACTGATCGAAGAAGTTTTGTTTGATCCTTAAGCCTATTCGTCTCGTTCTTTACTCTCATTGAAATCTAATTAAAGTTTAATTGAGGTCTAAGTGAAGTCTAATGCTAATTGATTACCATTGAAACTCTAAGTTACGTTTACTTAACACTCAAAGTGAACTGGATTTAAGATGGTTTAAGTAATAAAAAACGTAAAACATCTATTTCAGTTCCGTCTCTGGGAACGATCACGTCGTTTTAAAGAGGATTTCTCAAAGCTTTCACTTCAGCTTTTCGGATCTCTGGATATAAGGTCTCTGGATAAAGGTCGAGTACAGGTCCCAAAACATTGGAAGTCAGCTATAAAACCTTGTTCCTCTACAGCATCTACAGTGGGTCACTTCATTCTTAGTGCATGCCTTCTAAAGTCTCCTTGCATCCAGTGCAAGTTTGCTTCCATATATGCAAGTGCACGTCAGTACGCTGGCAAAGTTTGCTTGCCAACTTTGCACACTTAAACTCACTGCATACTTCCTTGAAGTATGCAGTGAGTTTGACCATGCATGTCTTAGGACCTTAGGAAGAACATCAAAAGTGGATCTCAGGGGGGTAACATATATATATATATAGATAGATAGAGAGATAGGATCTTGATGTTGACGGATTACACATTTCACAGATGGACGATGCCACAAATCCCTCGGATGTTCACCTACCTACAATACCAACCTTTTTCAGTACTGTTTGCCTCAAACATTTGCTTTCTTTAGTAGTTAGTAGGTCGTCGGGCAGGATGACGACATAGTATGGTGATTCACAGCCCGCCATCGCTGGTACCCCCCCAGGTTCTCCGCCAAGTTCCAACCTTTGGACTTTGAGAAGAGTTACCTGACCGTGCGCGGTCTCAAGGACACGAGAAGAAGGGTAGGCGGGAAGAAGCGGTTTTTGGGCTTTCCGGCCACAGCAAAGCGGGAATTATACCCACGGACTCACTCACATGAAAGTGGCAAATGTGACAATGGACCCTTGCACGGTTTCTTTTCCTTCAAGTGACAGGGTGGTTTCCACTTCCACTTCTGACGTGGGAACGTCGGACTGTTGACAGATGTTTGGCAACCCCTCGTCTGAGACCTACCGCCATCGGTGAAGGGGCAGTTCGGAGCAGCATTCCACGCCCTTGCCGGGTGCAGTTCGGCGGCCCGACTCGAAGGCCATAGCTAGGCTATAGGCGTGTATAGCGATTGGCACACCACTCGAGTGGGGGTTTTGATTTGGAGCCTAGCTAGGCGCTATGGTCTTGTGGATCGGGTGAATGGTCTTTGGTGAATGGTAGCTGCGCCGGGGAATCCGTTTTGGGATGAGTTTGGAACCGCAAGGCTCCAAGCCTCCAAGCTTTGCCTCTTGGTCCGTGGACGGATCGATCCGGGAGGGTGAAACGTCAGCTGAAACATCGAATGTCTGGATTCCCGGAGGTTTGAGATGGGTGATCATGTGAGTATGTTCCCCAGGGCTCCAACCACCTGAGGATGTGGTTGGAGCCCTAGGGTTTAATAGGGAGACCTCCGACATTTTTGCAAGGAGCTCGGCAAGTATGTCAATAGTACGGTGATTTGAGGCTGGGTAGAGTCCTACATGGCTCAACACAAGTGTGATGTGCCCCAAATGCGACACGACGGCCATCCAACACCTATAGCCTCATGCATCCCTAATTTCATTTGGTTTGTAGTCTTCGGCGAGGGCATCCTGTGTCCAATCCTTATTGCACTTGTTCCCTTTTTGCTACTAAATCATACCCTTCCCTTTTGTGTTGAGCCTGGAGGACAAGACAAAAGATGAGAGTGAGACAAATCCGTGACTTGGCGTGGTCGCCACCGCCCTGAGCAAATAGACTATAGACTATACACGAGAGATGAACTTCAACCACATGCGTTCTTTTTGTTCCACTTGCTGCATGATTTCTTGTTGTTCACTCCCTTTCCTTGGCCCAATCAGTCAATGCACAACGTAGATTTCGCGGTCCATTGTCGTCCTTTGCCCAAGGCGTTGTATGGAAGATGAGGTGATCTTGAACTTTTTTCCTTCCACGATTCTTGGAAGCATTAGATAATCATATCATTATCTCTTTATTACGTTATACCTTTTGTTGCTTCACTGTTCACCCACAACATGTTTTTGGACCCCGTGGCGGCCCATGGGGACCCGCCTCAAGGAACAGTGCTGTGTGAATCCCTCACCGGCGTTAGAGATGAGTATTGATGCGGTTTGATGTTGCTTTTTGTGCGGATCGATGTGTCAAGCAGGTCAGAGTAAAGGCCAAAGAAGAAATGTATGTTTCTCTCAGACTGAGTCGTAAACTAGACTATGCCCAGAAGAAAGCGAAGGCATCCAAACCCCAGTGGGACTAGCAGATTTTTCCCGATCAGTTCAGGGCTGGTTCGGTCCTGATCTCTTGCGTCGACGGCAGCGTGTCCCGCCAGCGACCGACCGGACCAGTGACCGACCGCTCCGTGCGTCGACGTGTTGATGCGAAGACCACCGAGCGCTTCGCCAGGTCCTCGAAGCTTCGATTGGATGCCCCAACAATCCTGGTGGAGCCGGGCTTGATGCTTGGTCGAGGATACTCGATGCCTCTGAAGGGACCATAAGGGACCCTTTTCGGCCTCTTGAGGTGTCCATGCTTCCAAAAGCTAGTCCTGGTCACGACCGACCCGCACTATGTTGCCGGTTGTTTGGGTTTCTTCGGGTGGGGGCCGAAGCTCAGCGTTGGACCACTCAAGGAAACCGAGCGTTGGAAGGTGGCCAGGCCATGGACGAGGCCTTTACAGACCCCGTGTTTGGCTCGTGGTCCATGTGTACAGCGTGAGAACAGAAAAGACATACAATCGATGCCAAAATGCAGGTTTCTATAGATGTTCGAGATGATTTGCGGGGCTGGAGATGCCTTGAGGATCTAGGCCTACAAACTCCTTGGTGGGCGGGTCTCTACCCTTCTTGCACCAAATTTCAGGACCTGCACTGCGCAAGACGTGCCGGGCTCTTCCTTTCTGCGACGGGCCGTGGACAGAGGCTTCCGCGTGGTGGCTGCTGGGAAGAACACCATGCTGGGGGTGGAAGTGTTTCACCGTTACTTACTTTCTCCCACAATTCATAAGAGGCGAAGACTTGGGAGCCCTGGTTTGAAGCACCTACAGGCTCTTTACCTCATTTCGTGTTCTTTGTTGTATGCCAAGAATCTAGTTATCATCACGATGTCTAACGATGTCTAAATCCGTAACCCGCCGCATTTGGCACTTGGCCACTCCCGTCGCACTGGCACTCCGTTCGGCTCCACTGGCACAGCCTCTTCGGCTCAGGTCATCGAGCGCCGGGGCCACGCACAGCCTTTGAAGAGCCCTCGCTGGAACCTCTTCGGCGATTCGGACCGACCGGGCGAGTGGACCTTTCCGGTGGAAGCCGGTGGAAGCCGGCCCGGAAACACGTGGCGTTTCCGGTGTAGGTTGGGATGGTTTTTCTGGAGAGGTTGGCAGTAACAAGACAGGGGAACAAGACAGACTCAGGGGAGCAGTATCAGTATAATGCAGGATGGAGCAGGTTCATGGAGTTGTGGTCCATGCAGGATTCTTCACTATGCAGCAGTTTGGATGCCTTTCTGCATCAACTGCGGATAGTTGAAGTCAAACGAAAAACAGTAGCAATCGTCAACTTGCCATAGGTTGAAACAAGACCAAGCATCTAAGGTGGATAATCAAGAATCATAGTCAACAAATCTTTACCATTCTGCATGCTACGATGTTTAAGCTTTAAACTGCAGCAACCTTCTGAAGTAGGCAAACTGCCTTTTCAAAGCGTTGATGCGGGCGTGATTTGAACCCATGACGAAACAAGAAAGACTTGTCACACATATATTGAGCGAAGACAAACAACACACTCCAAGCGATTAGTCAGTGATGCCATTGCATCAAGTTTTTGATTTGCAGCTTCCAGGTTGATTCCACTCAGGGTGAACGTCCCTTTCGAGTGCAGAAAATCCATGAAGATCCATGAGGGCTTGCGTCGCGCAGGACGACAGCGAGCAGATCCTTCTGGCGGTTCAGGCCATTTGGGATACCATGTGGTGGATACAGGTAGACTCTTTATTAAACAACTAATGACATGGATTATAAAGCCATCTAAAACCTCTTCAGGCATTGGGGGGTGAGATATCATATCATATCCAGAGTTTGCATTGGACGACCCAACAACAAATGAACACGAGATAGATGTGTCTCATAGGAGCATTCATCCAAAAAATCCACCACACCATGCAGGTGAAGAATACCACCTTCTGCCTTATGCAAATTTCAGAGCTTGACCCAACTAGTGCACATCTACCATGATTCACAATGCAGTCTTCACTCAAGAACAGGTCGAACAGCACAGAAGAACTGACTGCAACGCCCCGGCCACAGGAGACGTTGCCAAAGGCAGCTCTTTTCTGGATTGGCTTCTCTTCTGGCAGTTCTTTGGGCGGCACGAACACATCACACAGCTGGAGGCGGATAATACGGGATCACACAGACACGTGGTTCACACTGGGTGGCTGGGTGGCTCAATCGGCTCAGTCTGTTATGCTTCAAACATGTTCAACACATGCGGGGCCAAAATTTCAGAGTGCTATACATATATATATATATATAGGAATTATATAGGATCCACCTTGAAGAGGAACTCAAGGCCCATAATATTCATGAATCCAAGATTTGGGTGATACCAGACTTCATCTTGCTTCGCCGCATCTGGCCCATGCCACATCGACTTAGCCCAGATTGGCCTTGACCAAGGTAAGCTCCCCATCGAAGGCCAAGGCAAGTTCGACCGCCGCAGAGCGCAGGGCGACGAGACTGCACCGTGGCTTGGTGATGGAACTTCGGGGCATAAACATGATGGCAGAAAGACCAGTGAAATACTCACTTGTCTAGCTACCTATATATATATATATGTATACATGTTGTAGTTGTTTGTGTAGAACATTTATTTGGGCAACATCTGAGACCTGGGACCTTTTTTGCCTGATGCAAGCACTGGTCACCAAAGAGAAGACCAAGTCCCAGAAACCTTGAATGACGTCAAGGGTACCAGAAGTGATCATTTCTATGAAGTCAGGGGAGTTTGAAGTCAATTGTGTTGTGCCTACATCGTAGCTACCAATCCCAATCCGCTACCTACCAAGTGACTCATGCAGTAGTTGAATGTACTGTTTTTCAAGTCGTCCCCGAAAAGAACCCAGCAAAAGCAATACCCACAGTTACTCCTCAAAATAGGTGTACGAAACATCGGTCCGACCCAGAAAGATCGTCGACAGCATCGGTCGTCCGAACGAAGCGCGTTCCGCAGCGGAACGCAGCGGAACCACAATTGACCAGATGGTTGGAGGCCCCGTGTTGGTGTGTCAGGCCCTGCCCCTCCTCCCACTCCTTTGGAGGAATGGTACTGTATTAAGGATTATGGCTCTACACGAGGTCACACGAAGGTCATGGAGGGAAAGAAGAACACAAAGGGCAGCAGTTGTTTCTGCCTTTGAGTTCTGAAGTAGAGTTCAAGTCTTCAAAGTGTGGAGAGACTTTCAGAAGAAAGTGAAGACCATCCATGATCCAGACCATCAAGAAAGCAAAAACAAATCAACTGATCCCAGACCATCCATGTATGGAATAGTTACTTACATTGGGTTCATAAATGGGGTGAATATAGTAAGTATTCCACACATGGCTGGTTCGTGGATGATATATAGACTCAGATTCTATAGATCAGAATAGTATAAGCAACCTTTGCGGATTGCATGCAAGGAGTGGTGGAGGCCCTTGCAACAAAGGACATGTTCTTGATGCTTTTACCTTGACCCCGGGACCCAGGGTTTCATAACACACTCTTGTTGGAACCAGAATTGAATTGATGCACCAATGAGATACTTGAACTGTTTGGTTCCGTACCTTTGTGTACCCTCATCTGACTATTGGGATGTGGATCCGTTTGCACCGACCGAACCTGTTTCGGGACACAGCAATGTCCCAGCTCTATCAGACACAGCAATTCAGTCACCTTTCTTGCAGCAGCACGTTTGTTGAGCTCAGGAGCTTCAAGGCAATGGCATGCATTTGCCCTGGATACAACTTGGAGACCTGCTTCCTGGGCTTCAAGTTCCCTTATCGCCAGATGCTTGCAAAGAAAGACGACCACAACACAACGCACACACTTGAGAAGGTTGCTCCGTGGAGCTTGCCTTCAGGCTATTCGCGGTGAGCATTAGCACTTTAGGTGAATACGTAGCACTTGACTCCACCGTATGAAGTGAAGAGTCCGCTCACTTGAATGTGTCAACAAGATGCATTAGCTCTTTAATGTATATTAAAAATTGCAGGTACACAAGAAGGCGTCCCTTCTCGCTTCACAATCTCAAACCACCGTCTTCTTTGGGCAGTGGATGGAATGAGATTCACTGCCCCCCTGCTGAGTTGCTGTACAGTGCTTCAGGTCAGCGAGCGTAAGTAGCTAGATTAGTGCCCTTGGAAACAGGGGTTGACACACACACACACACACCAAAGTACTCGTTAAACTTGTTCGTTTGCAATTCATTCATATGAACGTACTTGACTTTAAAAGATCGTACTTTACTTGTCTATAAGCACCTCTAAGTAGACCATGATATGTCAACCATTTGGTTCACAGGGATTCAGGGTTGGGATCACCTGAAAACCATGCCCGGAAACGTCGGATCGGTCCTTCGTTGCAGTGGAGGGGTTCAGGTGGGCGTGCATGGCACAGGTGCCATACAGGTATGATCAACATTATGCACCTGTAAAAGTACTCATTTGTCATGATACCATGCCCGGAAGAGATCTTGTCTAGACACTTCCCTCCCTATGGATCCAAAATTCCCGCTCAGGAGGTATGTGGGGGACAGAACCATCCTCCCAAAAAGTTGCGACCCACACCATTCTGAGCAAGTGTTGGGGAACCTTTCGACAGGGTGTGGATGCTTCCATCGTGGAAACCTTACAAAAGCTCAACCAACTTTCGAAGACACCAACCAGCAAATTGCACAGGAAACCAACCATCTAGGGGCACAGGATCAGGACATCTGGATCCAACACAGCATCTAAAAGCCACTAGCGTACATCCACAGGGACATGCATGATCCCTTTTTTCCTCACCACGGTCGTCGCTCGATGGACACGGCGATTGGATCTGGAGATGAAGCACTATGAAGCGTGCTCTTCGAAAGAGTTTCTAGTGCCCATGGGTCGTCGCCGCCGAATCTAACATGACGTCGATGTCGACCGTATACACATACATGCCATGAGCCAGGTCTCAGACACGTTTCGGGCCAGCAGTGCGAGAGCTACTTGATGAAAGCGGCGCGCTTGAGGCTGAAGGTGGCAAAGAAGCGCATGCGGAGGACCGAGTTTTTTGAGACAAGCTCCACGCAAAATATGTTAACGATATTGGAAGACAAAGTTTGCGTTTCTGAAAAGCACGTTAACAGTGTCATATACGTTGCAGGATCGACATGGAGGCGGCGTGGAAGCGGTGATCGGAGCAATGCTTAGAAAAAGTGCTCGGAGAGCGGGTGAGCAGGGTTAGGCAGTTTAAGCCGTCCATGTCGGCGTGTACTAGTTAAACCAGTCTCCCGGGTCAGCAGGGATATGTTATACATAACTCTATACAATATAAAGCACTTGGATGAAACGGCGGCCACTGAGCGGAAACATTTCCTTGGTGCAAAGTTGATGTGTGTGTGTGGGTGCAATATCGTATAAAAATGGTGTGGATTAACTACAGTAACATGTGCAGTAGGTTTGTTGGATAGATACGGTTCTTTGTCGGAAGAAATTTGGATGTATATACTAGACGACTGCTGCTTTGAACTGGTCGGCTTACTGGCATTTGGGCCTCTTCACGGTCTTGGCACGAACAAAATTGTGGACTCATGAGTCTGAGCGTAGGTTTCTGGTTCAACCGGCGGGCGAACATGCCAAGTCCTTTTCAGAGAACTACACCCGGGCTCCGGGACCCACATGGAACCTGATGGCATGGACCAGGCTGGAAGACGATTTTACCTCTCCGGCCTGACATGGTGAACTCAGGTCTCGGTGGCCCAGGGCGTCGGTTCTTAAGTGGGTGCTTCGGATCCCCGAAGAGACCCGAGCCGCCCACTTGAGACTCTGACCGATGTTGGTCCTGTTCGTGCATGCCATCCACAAGCGCCCTCGGAAGAGGGAAGAGGGCGCCCTCTTGACGTTCCCCGAGTTCGGAACCATCTCAGAAAACACGAGTCAAACATGTGTTTGTCAAGCACGAGTCAACATCTAAGGATGTGTTTGTCAAGCACGAGTCTCGGCGGATCATGGCGGGCATCTGCAAGACTGAGGTTGATGGACCTCGTACAATGTGAAGATGTGGATGGAAATTCCCTAGCTTTGGGTCCAAACAAAGCCCTGCTTCTCAAGAGACCCGTGAAGAGCCCACGAGACTACGACGGCTGTTCTGGAATCTAAACTGACATATGTCACAGCCCATGGAAGTGGAAAATGAATGAACATGGTTATTCTATAAGCTGTCCCAAGACCACATTCCTTTGCGAATACAAGTTTTTCCACTTTCATGTGATTGATGTGCTTCAAAGCTTTCCAAGATAGCACAAACAAAGATAACAACAAACTGTACCATCTACAATTGGTTCATTCAGTCCGATCTAGATGAGGTATCTCAAGTGAGATCAAACTCGAAGTGAAAAGGTCTTGACCAAGAGCCATTTCAGATGGAGGAAGTCGCCGACTTGCGGGTTGTTTATTGACGAACCAGGTCACTTCAAGTCACGTCGACCTATTTGGTGGTAACTGCCGTATTTGTAGGTGTGGTGAATTCGTACATTTTTTCTCCAGACTTCACCATTGAAACCATTCCCACAGGGCACCCTTCATTGGCATGCGGCATGTGTCTAAATGATGGTTGTCAATTATAGGGAGGCATCCCAATCCCAGTCCGAAAAGCACTCCTTGTCAGCTTTAGATGGTGTCACTCATGAACACTGAGTGAACCCACCAATACCGTGGAACCCACCGCGGAACGGGTGCGTCGAACGTGAGTGGTTGGTCAAGGAAGAGCAAGTTCCTCTTGGAGAACGAAACCATTTTGCGCGTCTTGGATTGACTTGGAAGAACAGCTGAGCTGAGACATGGAAGACGTGGGTGTATTAACATGTCAACAACAGGTAGATGCCATGGACAAAGCCCCATCTACTAAGTGTTTGCAAGCCCAATGTTAGTAACCGTCGAAACCCAAGGTTCCTTGCGCGCCGAACGGGTTCGAGCGGGTCGACCGGCACCTATAGCTGGCACGTCTGCGTCAGGTTCCTTCAACGCTGAGGCTTTCGAGCAGGCCTACAACGCCCCAGACGCCTGGACACGTGAATAGCTTCTTGTTACGTCCGTAGCGATGCAAGGAGCCCTGGTTTGTAGCGTCCGATCGCTCCGTTCGTAGTAAGGCCAGGAGCCCCGGTTCGTAGCTTCTTGCATCTTCTTGCTACTAGTAGCGATGCCCTTGTTACCCAAAGAAATGCCTGGAGGGTGGCCATGGGTGGTTTTTTCGAGGTAGGAACCACCATGATTTATTCCGCCCGATGTTTGGGGCAGGTGCTTGGGAATGTAAGCTAGATAATATGATTGTTTTCGGAGGGGATGCAGGGAAACCTCTAATTCTGAATGACCTGAGACAGACAGTCATCAGTTCATCAGTTTGGAGAAGTGATTCCTGCTAGAAGGGTCGATTGTGCTTGCTCAGGATCAGTGCGATCCACAACCAAGGGCATCTGTATAAATCTAGCATGTACAAAACCCAGACTGTGTACAAACAATCATATTCTTGAACTGACCTTGAAACCGCCCTGCTTGCGACCGTTGCATACAGAAAGCTGCAGTGTAAGCATCACTGAATCCACGTCCTGAAGCGCCGTAGAAGGGCAGCAGCCCATGCGGCTCCCAACCACATTGCACTACGCAACTGCAACTCATTGAAGTCGCAAGAGGCTGCTTCGGATTCTCCAACATGAGCGGCGCAGTACAGCAGCTTGTGCTGTTCTAGATTCAGTTTGCCTAGCCTTTTGTACTCCACAAACCTTCATGACAATCACACAAACAATCAAATTGTCACCGTTCTGGGTAAGTCATCATCATCATCATCACCACCACCATCATCGTAATCATTTCATCATCAATGCGACTTTGTGGGATGTCCTGTTTTTTGGAAAGGACACAGCCAGATGTAATTAGGGAAAACGTCGCTCAATCGTGAATGCCGTGAAAGCAAATGATTCAGTTCAAAACACAACAGTCATGAGTCATGAGATCTGAAAATCACATCAGCCATTTGTAGTCTTCAATTTGCCGGATGATTTTGGAGGAATAAAGCAACGATGCGATGAATTTTGCGTAGCAGGCTCAAGGACGCAGCCAAACAAGCAGAGAGCAACAAGAGCCACGGCGACAGCAGGGTCCTGGCGACTCGACTGAAGCCAGCAAACCACAAGGCTTCCTCTCCTCATTTTCGAAGGCGTTCGGGTCAAATGATGACGGAGCTTGGATGAGGTCACACTGAATGGACCAGCTGAATGGCTCATGCCAAGGGAAAATCAACCTTGAGCTAATGGGTTACACTGATGCTGGCGGGGAAACCGAGAACGTGTTGGAAGCGGTATCTCATTGAGGTAACAGAAGCAAGTTGTGAATGTAAGTCAATGACCACTCTGATACTATCTGATACTCATCCTCATCCTCATCTTCATTGATCTTCATTGTCACATCACGAAAGGTAGCTTGAGCTACCTGAGTTCTCCTTGCTTTAGCAAAAATGTATTACAATCAGGAGTTGGGATTGTGCATTGAATTTGGTCCTGTAAGAGTTGATTCTGTTCGTCGGGGGGGGGGGCCCCTCCCTGGATCAAATCCTCCCTGCGCCGGTTCACGCCGTCATGGACTTCTACCAGCTCTAGGGTTACTTGTGATTGCCTGCTACCTTTCGTTCACCCCCTCCTCTCTCAAGCTGTCATATCGACATCATGAACTGTCGGTCAGATAGGACCAAGATACAAAACAATGTTGAAATGTTTCAACAAAAGTTACCTTCCACACTTCTTTTGTAACTCCGAGAGAAAGCACATCTTTTATCATGTCATCACTTGTTCTTCTCCAGCGCTCTCCAGCACACTCCGAGGACTTGCAGGAGCTGCTTTCCCATGTGGCGCCCTTCGCCGGCTACGACTCGGCCAAGAGCTACTTCGAGCATGAGAACCCGGTGCGCGCTTAAAAAGTGAAACAGTGAACGAGAAAGCGTTGAAACGACAGAACTTGGTGGGAATCAGTATGTGAGATCTCCTGCATAACATTCTTGACGGGATCAAATAATAATTAATTAGATATAATTAGATGATGACATCGATGGGTCGCTCTTAATCGATGAGTTCCTTCCCATAGATCCGAAGATCTAGTAAATTGTTTCGTTGCCTGTCCCAGTATCCACAGGTTATGTGATCAGATCAGATGTGTGTATAATAGTTATATACCTAGAGCCTGCAAAAGACACGTGTGTTCTATTCCCAGTGGGGGCTCTCTCCCTTCAGGCGAAGCATCGACCCCAAACAGCTGCAGATTTGTCCCCCAGTGCCCAAGTAAAAAAATTCATGGGCGACAACGCGGAATCATCTCAGCCCAGGATCCGGAATTTCAGCCCGACCATGTGGGAGACAGAGGGAAACAACGAAAAATCATCACAACCCAGCATCCAGAAACCATCTTGTCCCAGGATCGTTTCTATGCAGGAATTCAGAACCCCTCTCAGCAAAGCTGTTTGGGGAAGAAGACTTCACAAACATTAATTTTGGATAATATTGGTGTCAATTTAGTTTACTTCTGTGTTTTTTTATTGTAATCTTTGCATCACTTTGGTGTCATGTTATTTGTCGCGAACTTGCATTTTTCTGCGTCATGTTTTCCGTTATATATATTTATATATATATATATAGAGCCCCTACAACGCGCAGCGCCGCGCTTTCGCACCACTAACGCTTTCCACCAGTGAAATGACACCACCGCTTCTTCGTGGCCCCGTTCGCCGGAAGAGAAGTCGGTCGTAACTGGGAGCGACTTTTGGGTGGTCACTTCGAACCCCGAGTCGCACAGGCTGGTGCGACTCGTAGAGACCTTTGGGTAGTTTTGATGCAGCGGAAAAGAAACACAATCCCCATCAAGGGGCAGCTTGAGGTATCCTGGCAGCAGGATCAGTAATAAATATATATATATATATACAGCATGGCCTTGTGAAAACTGTAGGGGCTTGTCGGTTTCAAGAGGAGTTCACTCACGCTCAGGGTGTGCAGTAGGTCCAAAGATATCCAACGATGTCAAAAACAAATCCCAGGACGGAGTGTTCAATGACACCCACTTCAGACAGAGTTGGACTGCTTGAATAAAGAATATCCTTTTTCATGTAGACTCAAGACGGAGTTTGGGGTTTGAGCAGCACTTAACCAAGGTGCGAAGGTGCGTGATGATTCATGAGAACCATTTGCAGCGCCATCAGTGTGGGAGAATTTCCAGTTGCTTGACCCTGTAATTCCAAGAGTGGATCCTCAGAAAGTAAGGTTCTTCCAAAGTAATTCCTTTCGTTTTCAGGTGAACTATTTGATATCCCTTGGAGGTATCTAGTGGAATCCTCCGAGAGAACAAGTCCACGGACGTGAAGTTTTTCTTCCGGGTTTTGCTGAGCGGGAACTTGTGATGTCCCCGCTTGTGAATCCCCTACGGAATATGGGAATGAAATGATTCATGCTTGCGTTAGATATTGATTTCATCCCGCAGCGACCGTGTCTCGGAGGTGCTCTTTGCACCCCACGTCCGGACGCCTTGCTTGATCATCAATGCCTTGGATGACCCCCTGACGGTACCGACGTCGCCCGGCGGCGAGTGGAGAGGGAACAAGTTGTGGAGATCTCTTGGTGGAGCGAAGTTGTTTGTTTGTTCGTTTGCTTTGTTTGTTGTTTTGTTTTGTTTGTCTTTCTTTGTTTGTGTGTTATTGTTATTGTTATTGTTTCTTTGTATATTAATGCTCCAGACTCCAGCCCTGTGAAATGTTTGGATGCACACCCAGCCAAACAAGTAGGGGGGTACTAGTGGTGTTTGTGTTCAAAAAGAGACCGATGTTTGTCTTCTTGTTTATCTGATGGGGTCGGACGATCTCCATTCCCAAGCAGAATGCCACATCTATTTTGGGGGGCAATCAAAGATGACCCTTCGCCAATCGGTGGAATCTCACCTTCGCCAATCGCAATCGCTTCGTCTCGGGGCCCGCAGATCCAGATACCAGGTTTCAATCCAGAAACTTCCTGGAAGTATTGGATCAAGGCTTCATTGTTTGGGGGGGGCCCTGGCATCCCTTGGCATCCCTTACACTACGAGATCTATGACTTCAACGAACAGCTGGGTTGCTAGTGGCTTGAATCTCGAACAGTTGCTGCAGGGGGTCGACAGCAGAGTTGATGGGTTGACAGCTTTGAGAGCTGCAGGGGCGGCTTGCAAATCGTTGAACTGGAGCACCTTCTAGAAGGGTTAAAGGTTTCTGAACATGCAGCAAACATATATTATTGCAATTAGTATTGCAATTACTGTGGGAAATTAATCTTATCATCATTTTGTCCGAGTCTTGCGCCTATGCAGCAGTCGAGGAATGCCTTTGGCAAGATGCCAGGAGAGGTGGCACTTGCAAAGCAGTTGACGAAACAATTGTTCAGTACCAGACCTCCAAACACAACAGCCGCTTCGCTTGAGGTACTGCGGCAAGACTCATTCTTGCTTTGCTTGTGGAGTACCAAAGACACGCCCCCCCCTGCATCATGCATCTCTACAGAACTTAAACGATCAGATTATATCATATATCAACGATATATTTGTGCAGTTTCTTTGGTTGTCTTTGCAGGGTCCAACTACCTTCGAAAGGAGCTTTCCAACAGGAGCCGTAGAAAAATTGAGCAACAATATCGTTCCACTTTCAAGACTAGACCAATATTTGCTTCTTCCAGAAAATTTTACACTCAAACTCAGGGATATTCAGGGACCCTTACTCAGTAAGTAGAGCCGTCAATTGGATAGAAGAAGGATGCAGAACGTGTGCATTTGTGCCACGAACATGCCAGGTTCTGTATCTCCAGTGACTGCTTGTGATTGACTCAGACCTGGTCAACCCATCGAACGTCCGTCTCACATCGACTTCCATCCATGTGCGGCTCAAACGAACAAAACCTGTCTCCAATTCCAGGAATCACCTGTCGGGATGCCGAACTTACGAAGGTGCCCGGGGTGCATAGGTGCCCCTGTGACTGTCGGGACGAGGCGTTTCTCATCCAGTCCTCGGAGCGAGCCAAACCACTCGGCGACCGGAGGACAGGAGGATGGGCCCAGCTTCGCGGAGATGGTGGAGGCCTCGGACTGCGGACTGCTCCTGATGACGCCCTCAGGCCGGGCTCCGTTTTTGGGCAAATTGATGTGGCAGAAGTGGAGAAGTGGCTGAGAGGAGGGCGACTCCAAGGGGCCTGAATGGAGAGCTTTCAGGAGCAATCAGTCTGAAACCTGAGATTCCAACCGATTCCGACTTGTGAAAAAGACTAAGCGAATGCACGAGTCAACCTGAGTCCTGGTTCCGCCAGAAGACTGGGATGTGAGTTCGGGGATCCATTGAGTTCGGTGTCCGCGGGATTCTGTCTTGAGAGTAGGTGGCACAATCCTCAAAGGGTAGTTTGATGTAGTTTATATGGACCCCCAGCTGAAAGACATTTTGGGGTGTTGTATGGACCATGCCATACTGAAACCAATGTAAAAGGTGATGGTGATGACGCGAATTTGGCTGGCAATTTGGCACATGGGTAGAAAAGTCTTTTTATATTCTTCGATCCTTATATGAAGGATATGTGTTTTCAAGTGTGAGAGTTTGGCGATGTTTGACAGGAAAATAATACAAACATTATCAAACATTATTCCAGATCCTCAGTTCTGATCCTCGTGTTTCGGAACCTCTCCACGAACCTCTCCACGAAGAAAGGGTCACAGGTCGTGGGACGCTTGGTAAGCCAAACGCAGCTCCAAAGGAGTGCCGAACGTGGAGGAAGTCGGGGTGTCCCTGTCACATCCACTCAGCACATGGGACTTTAACAGCATGCCTTTGGAACTGCTGGTCAATTGTATGTTCTTCCACTGTTGTTCCACTTGTTCTTTTCCGGTTTTTTGCCTGGTTCTTCAAAGTGACCATTTAATATCCTTAGATTCTCAAAGGTCACTTGGAATTCCTTTGGGACTCCAAAAAGGTCACTTTGAAGAAGCTGGTTGAGAGTTTTGAATTTTCTTTCACTTCACTTCTCTCTTTTCAGAGGCGACTCTACTACAGGCTTCCAGTCTCTTTGGCTGATCGAGCGGATCTTCTTTTGGTGACATGTGCACAAAGGTCATCGATGTGCATGGATCCGGCCTTCCAACAGGCTGGCATTTGTACGGTAACAGTAGCAGGTAATGGCAGGTATACCGATAGGTTGTGAGTATATATACATCTTGGGATTAGCTGGTGACATGTGCAGATGTCTTTGGTAGGGGTTCCATGAATTTCCATGACAGGTGTTGTCTTTTTTGATAAAAATGTGCAAATTAATGTGAAAGAAACCAGACTATGTCCCGGACGTCTTCTCACACGAGGATTTGTGTCTATGTAACATAGGTAGGGATTCGGGTTTTATACATTTTTGGTTCTGGCCAGGTTAGTTCCCAACTTTGTGTTGCTGCGCCACTGATTGGTCACCGTAGCTAGGAAAACAGCAGCTCAGCATACAGTGGAATGGGGGATGGTGATGAAGCAAAATCCTTCAAGATGAACCTGAAGCCTACTGGTTTGTACACGAGACCCTGGTCCAGTTGGGTCTACTTTCAGGTTCCATGGGCGGAAGTGTCCTGTGTCCTCCCTTTAATCCTGCCCGGTGCTGTTGCCGTTTGCTGTTCTATTGGGCTGCGAACGGCGCTGGTGGCCCCCCATGCGATCCCAGCGAGTGTTGCCGCTGTGCAACCCTGGAGCACGGCAATGGCCACTGAACTCAAGTTGGCTTGTGTATTTTTAAGAGGGAGACCCCCCCAACGGATGGGTTTTGGTCTATTTTCCAGGGGTCGAACTGGGAGGTCTCCCTATTTTGACACATTTGTCCTCCTGCAGGGGGATTGAGCGACAGGTCTACTCTTACTCATCCTCCAAATCTATTCGAGACCAGATCCCTTGCAAGAAAGAGCTGTATATTCAGAAGGTGTTTTGGGATAGCTATATTCATTGTAAGATGTCGCAAGCGGAAGAAGTGGTGATAGGGTGTGCAGGGATGGGTTTGGAACATTGATCCCAGCAAGACGATATCTACAAGTTGACTTTGTCACACCATGTCCATGTTTCTCGGACATGGGGTGCATCTATGTGTATCTTGATTCGATTTTCTCTTGTGGGTGTTGGGGCTTTGGTCGCAGTCAAGAGCAGGGGCCTCAGATCAAGAAGGGGCCCAGAGAAGCATGTCAAAATTCTGTCTCTATAGGTATGTTTAACCGGTATGTTTTTTTTGTTTTTCTCTTTCTCTCTCTCTCTCTCATGCCTTGCAGGTAGTCAATAGCTGCATTGGTTTACCCTTCAAGTGCAGTCATGTTCGATTGGTCAGGCAGCTGTTGCTTGCAAGAATGAGTGCCATGCTTGATTCTTCGTGCCAGACTCCAGGTGGGATGGCACAGGGTTGTCCAGTTATATGTGTTTTCTGTTCCGCCATGCCTAACACCTGATAACTTGACAACCAATGTCGAACATGGTGGGAGCCATCATTCATCATTGCCTGTTTTCTGGTCTGGAGACCTCATACTGTATGTCGGATACCTTCCAATGACCTAAAGTCTCCGAGACGTTGTACTCACCTTTTGCCGGCAGCTGCCTCAGCACAACCGAAGCAACCTCCCGGACCTCACTGACCTCACTCCTTCCGGACAGCTTGCTGCTTCCCCAAGCAGCTTCAATATCAGTCCAAGGCTGAGGCCTTGGTGGACTTGCACTGGGTTCTCTTTTTTGTTTTCTTTTCCAGGTCCTTCATAGTTTGTGTGCAGTCGATCTAATTCTAGCAGGGTATCCACTTTCGAGTGACTCTGCAGCTTCAAGCCAATGCCAACTCAACAAAAAGTAGAAATGCTAATGATGGGAGTCCTGCTGCACAGCCCTCCCATCAGAGTACTGTGGCTTAGCATCACCCTCCCCACTCCCACTCACTTTTAGGTGATAATCCATACCAGGCATCGTGGGTTTTGTGATCCTGAAGGCTCCAGCAGCAGCAGCGAGTGAAACATGTTTGCTCAAAGTTCAGGTCCGAAGCCTCTACACCAATCGACTAGCATTTGCTTCCCTCATCTTTGTTCATCGCCCTGAAGCTTGGCACCCTCAGCACTGGCCCTTTCTGCCAAGGACCGGCGTGACTTCTCCAAAGTGCTGGACGACAACTTGGTTCACTTCAGAAGGCCTGGAAGCCCACCAGGGCCCAGTGACTGGGTGCCCTGCGCCACCCCCAAATGATATCACCTGTGCGGGTTTCGTGGAGGTGCCGAGGATTTGTGAGGTGCAATCCAAAAAGATTTGCTTCACTGCCTCAGGGCTCGAGGTCCTTGAGGTCTTTGTGTGTGTTTCTTTTTTCAGCTACTTTGACAAAAATGAAAAATAGAGCTTCAACAGTCTTTTACTGTCTTCCCTGGGTGGTGCAACGTGGGGGTTGGCCCGACTGCAACATGCACAGGGCTAGAAAAACAAGCGTTTTACAGGGTCTTTTGCCTTTCGGGTCACTCAACTTATCGTCTTGGAGTTCATGAACTCCAAGACAATGACTTGAGTGGATTTTCAAGACACTCAAATAAGACAAGGTTTGCGGTCCAGTCTCTCAGACCTCCACAAGAAAAGGTGTTACTCGACCGTGTTGATGAAAGTGAGACCAACCAAACATCGACGAGACGATCAAAAAACGACGAGACGGGTGATCGACAGTTTAACAATGAAGCCTCCTGAACAAATTACACAGTCGGATCGGAGGTCCACGGGAGCAACCATCAATGGGGGCATTCATCCAAGGGTCAGGGGTCAGAGTTGTGAAAAAGGCCTCAGATGCTGATTGGGGGAAGGGCACTTCAAACCGGACAAACGCAACAAAAGAACTAACCACAAACACAACAAACAAACCTCAAACGTGGAGCCCGCCATGTGAAAGGGCAAAACGACAAGAGGATTGGGCCAAACCACCGTCGTGGTATACATGCCAATGTGGCCTGATGAAACATGTGAAATCAGCATGCAAAAGGATGATCATCTTCTTCACCCGTCACGAGACTTTCATGGGTCATTCGACCGTGTGCAGTTTCGCAATCTCTTAAATCTTCTACTAGAGTCGTTCCAGTAACACCATTGACTTCTTCGAAAGAAGTTGGAACCTGAGCACACCAACAACATCGTAACGCGAGTGTCGATTTACGCGAGTAGAACCACGAACGAAACGTCACGAAGCCGAAAGTACAACGCGAATGTCGATTTACACGAGTAGTAACACGAACGAAACTGTCCCCAGCCCCACCCCCAACCCCGCCCCGAAAACCATGTTGGGGTCGTCGGGAAGGTTTGCTTTCGGGGCAACCCCCCCCGTTGACCCAACATGTTGTATGAGTTCTCTTTCCAAGATTTAACACATCAACACGTAGTGGGAACAGAGGCGTCCCTGACATGTTGGCCACCCTTTAGAGAAAACAAGGGAGGTTGCTTGCTGGAAGAGTACCATCCCATAAAGATCCCAAACCATTTTGCAACCAACAGCCTCACAATCATATGAAGGTTTCAGCTGTGTCGTTTTGCAGAGAAAAGACGTGTTCCAGTGTTCCAGATAGGGATTGAATGGGCCATCCTGGATTCCCTGTCATATTATACTGTATATATATATATATATATACACCATATATATGTCCATCCTATACCAACCCCTGGGTCCCTGCTGGGGATCAACCTGCCATGAAACGATCGATGTTCAGGATAGACATCCTGCAGTCGTGCTTTCCTTAGCTCGCTTTGATATGTGCCACTCAGCTCACTCCGGCGGCACAGGCAGCTCTTGGCCGCCACCTTCCCCAGGGATGGAGCCAAAGGCCGGAGGGAGGGTGGAGAGAGGCGACAGCCCACTGGGACTTTTCGATAGAAAATTGATGAAAACATATTATGAAAACATCATGGAACCAACAAAAGCCAGTGGTTTGGAGTCTTTTTTTCAGACAACTCAGCGGCACAAGACGGGATTCAGATCAAATCATGTGTGGCTTCAAGTTGAAGGATTCTTTGGTCCAGAGTCTGGGTAAAGAAAGTGTGTAAGCCAGTCTAAGCATCAATATGCCTTCAGGGGTGGTGGCGGTGGTGGTGATGGTGGTGGTGGTGGTGGTCGTAGTGGTAGTAGTAGTAGTAGTAGTAGTAGTAGTCGTCGTCGTAGTTCACCGCTTGCGTGACTTAGCCACGAGTCCAAAGAAGTTGCCTTTTGGGTTCACATACAGTCAAAAAGTTGCTAGTTCCCACAAAAAGTTCCATTGGTATACACATGTTCGGAATGGCAACCAGTATTTGTGTTGCTCCTTAAATGTTGTATTCCCTCACACACATGCCATATTGTCCTTCACCGGCTCACCGGCTTCGAGTTCTGTGGTGACCTCGATCGACACTCCTCAGACGACGTAGGAACCGAGGACCGCTCGCCTGAGCGGCCCTCAACGCCCAAGCGGCCGCAGACGCCGAAACCAAATCTGAACCTAATGGAGAGCTGCTTGGAGTGAGAGCCGCGGTGAGTGCGGTGAGTGAAAGAGAGCGTTGGCATGTGTTTTTTTTCGGGTGTTTGTTGAAGACCTGAAGGCATCAAAGAGATTGTTATACATGTTTTTGTTTCCTGCAAAGTGCAGTCAAGCCACCCTAGACATCAAGTCTCCCCGTTGCTGGGGCAATAGTTATGTACCCGTATCATCAAACCTTTTGGTCGCCAATTCAATCGTTCAACCCGGGGATGCCCAGGCATGACCCCAAGCTTTCTTTGGCTCGAATCATTTTTTGGGGTTGAGTAGGTGCAGGATGTACGGTCCATAAAACCATGGGACTCGAGGCAAAGATTTGCCACTCAGTAAACCATTCTTTGGATATCAACTATTTATTTAGCTATATATATATTATGTATATCAGTACTGTTAATTCAACAAGAAACCATTACAAAACAATGACACAGGCTGTGCTCACTGCTCTACAAAGGCTTCTGCGGTAGGAGTGCCTGTCTTCTACCTGTTTGGTCCAAGCGGAAGAAACCAACTTGCAACGCCTGGCAAGTCCGTTCCAATTGGGCTCCAGACGGAGCGTTTGTCAACCAGCTGCTTCGGAAGTCTCATGGCCTGTGAAGGTGACACAAAATCAAGTTCGGTCACGAAGAACCAGGCCAAATCTGAAGGGGTTTGCCATGGGTTTACCTCTTGCCAATCGAGTCCTTGTATGGCTTACCTGGTTTCCGTGCAAAACGCCCGACGCAGCGCAGTGCCAACCAGGCGGGACTCGATCAACCCGGCTGCAGCCGGAGCTCGAAGTTCCCAAAGTGGCCCGGGAAGCGTCCAAGGGTCGGAACTCCGTCGGGGATCCCGGTGTGTCAGGAAGGGAAGAAGGCGAGAGCGGGGAAGTGGCTGGTGGCATTTAGCCATCCTTCTCAGTGAGTTCTTGATATGAACATAAGTTAACATATAAAAACCGTCTTGACATGAAACTGGGAGCCTGCGAGGTGAATTTGGACAGGAACGTTGAAGCATGCCCTCAAGCAGTCCTTCCTCCAACTAAACAATGACTTGTACAAAAGAAGGTTTCCCTTTTTTTTCGTTGCCCGGAACATCCACTCACCTACGGTCCAAATACCACCTGTTTGGAACTGCAGGACGGGACGTGTTTCTTTTCTTTTGTGCATGTGTGTGTCATGTTCTTTTTTGATCTTTTTTGGGGGGAGGAGCTGCTGATTTTGACCGCTTTGCTGCTGTTTTCTTGGGTGCTTTCCTTCCAACGGACGGCCGATTGCGGCCGCGCTCAGGTGACCTTCCGACAGCGGCCGAAGGTTCGACCCTTCGTCGACTCGCGGTGCGTTCCTTTCTTCGACTCACTGACGTTTGGTGAAGAAGAGAAGCAGTGTAGCCACTTTGGTCAATGATTTGAACACCGGAGGACCTTGTTTGAGCACCAAAAAATGAACAGAATAGACGACTATAAGGAGGTCAACTTACCAGAGATTAGGGGTCTGGGTTTTGACCCACAGCCATTTCTTGGCTGTTTGGGACGTCTCTCCACTCTTGTGCTGCGGCGCAACAAGCAGACAGGTGGAGTCAACAAAATACCAAGAGTTGTTCAGGGATTGTGTTTAGACCCCCAAGTGATTGGATGTTCGGGGCACCCCTAGATACACTCCAAGATGTGATATAGGCCCATAGGCATATGTCGGGTGTGTCCCATTGCCAGTATAGCCCAACGGCAAAAGGTTAGTTAGCACTCTTTTCCATCACCTTCCTGGTCCCTGGAAATGGGATATAACCAAGGCATATACAGGCATCCCGACCTGGAACTGCTGGCGATATGTATTGAAGTAGGGAGACCACCCTGGTCCTGACCTTCCAACGGATGGTTTTGGGACCCTCGCTTGGAGGGCGGGCAATTTCTTTTTTAAATAATAGCACGAGTTTTGTGTATCCCTTGACCGCGACAAAATGAGACGATTAATAACACATGCATTTAAACACAACAACTTTAAAGTTCGATCTATTCTGGTCCGGTTTTGGGATTGAAAGGATGCTGTTCCGGCCATGTTTTGTCAATGCAACTGAGCAATTCCCATTCTTCCTAATTACATATCATTGAGTTCTTGCTGATAAAGCCATTTCCATACACCCAGACAACCTGGCTGGCTGTGATTTTTTTGCCACAATCACTGGCACCTTGCTTCATTTGCTACACTGCTGAGCAAGCTCGAGCGCTTCATCGAACTGCTTCCGCGCGAACCGGTCCACAGGAGCTGGAAGATGCTTGTGTGGAGACCACCAATAGCCAATCCCTTCGCTCCTCAGTCCTCGATGCACCGCGGTGGATTGCGCCTGGCGCATCGGAGATGGTGCACCGTGGGTCGCGCAGTAGGGTGGGTCCCTGACCGGGTTGAGTCCGATCGATCGGGACCTTTGTTATAGCCCCAGAAGACACAACCCCAAATGTTAGCATATAGAGCTAACTTTCGATCCGGTAGGAAAAGACATGAAAAGACCCTATGTTTGGGTGGTCAGTGGGCAACAAGCTCAGGCTGCCATGTCGAGTTCGTTCTTGCGGACGACGTCCGTCGCTTTCTGTTTCGACCGGGGGAGAACGGGACATCCATCAACCGGAGGCTCGGAACCGGCGAAGAGCGCGACCACAGAACCCAGCGGGCACCATGGGGGTACTGAATTGACATGAAGGTGAAGTAAAGACATCGGGGAGTTGTGCGGAGGACGTAAGAGATTGAAGATCCGACTGCGCATAGGTCCGGTGGATGAAGGTGGTGGGAACTGCCAAAGATCCGACACTGTCAGGAGCAGATAGATCAGATAGGAGCAGACGTGTGTGAAGACGCGCCAAGCGCGGAGGCACCCCGGTCTTCGTTTGCAGGCACCTTCATCGGGAGAAGCTTGAGGGGAGTGCCACGCATCCCCAGAAGCCTCGGTCAGAGGCAGAGGGTACCTGGATTCCTAGATTCCTGGATGTCAACTGGGCGCGGTGGTTTCAAGTCTTGATGATCAACCTTCGGATGATCCCACTGGATCTCTACAAAGATTCAGAACCTTTTGGGCAGATCCTTCGCCACCAAGGTTTCGAGTGGCAAGATCCCACGCAGTCGGCGCATTCCGCCAACTCGGAGCGCCGGCCTTTTTGGGGGAGCGGAGGGACCGGACGGATCTACCTGGGGGGAGAAGCCATAAACGGAGCCAGCTTCTCCGGTAGTTATTGTGCAACAGGTGTGGATGCTTCAACATCGCACACGTGACATTTGAGGGAGGCCACCAGTCCAGCCATGCCGGAGCAGCACCCGAAATCGCAGGTCCCGGAGCGTCAACGTGAGTCGATGGAAGCCGAAAGCACTGGTCACAGCAAAGTGGCCGTTGATGCCACCCACAAGCGGGACAAAAGCTGGAGGTCCTGACCTTGGTGTGCGTTCGTTTCTTAATGATCCGTTCAGAATATGACTAAATCATCATCATCACTGGGCCCCGGTAATGTTCAGAATATGACTATTTTAGAGAAAGACTAACCATCATCATCACTGGGCCCCGGTAATGTTCAGAATATGACTATTTTTAGAGAAAGACCTGGAACCTAACCATCATCATCACTGTGCCCTGGTAATGGGATAGACCCTATATATATATATTATATAACGCTGGTTACCGTGCTTTTGGCTCATGTGCAGCTGCACAGCCCTCCATCATAGTGATTTGCTATATGCGCATCGGACATCGGACCTTTTCAGTAGAACGATCTTTCTCGGTCAACCGTGGAGGATGTGCCGTGGTGTTTTGACTTTTCCGAGTCTCAAGACATGTCAGGACACCTCCCTGAACTCTGACACCAGCCTGGGCATCCCTGCTGCTCGCCAGAGAACCGGCCGCAGGGACCAAACAAAAAGTACAAGGCGGTACAGATATCTATGGTAGCTTTTCCTCTATGAAATGGGGGGGGGACAACCCCCAATATAACACGTAATATGGTTTAGTGCTTGGGGGGATACACCCTGATTGTATAGAGAGTTTCGTGTGACCATGCAAATTTTGATATCATGCAGAGAGTTAGAGTTTGAAATATGTAACATGTACATGCTGCTGAGGGTTGGAAGTTGAATCCATTTTGGCTGAAATGAACAAAGAAGCTGGCGAGCAACAATGGAGATACAGAGTATCACCTGAAGAAAACGTTTTTCAGCGTGTTTCAGCATAATTAAATAATGTGTTCAAACATGTGAAAAATAAACATCATCCCGGCAAGATACCCCAAACAGTGTGAAGCTCGAAAAGGACGAATCCGAGGTAGAGCGCCCACGATCAAGCAGAGATTAAGAGAGATCTAGATACAAAGCTCCATGCCTAGATCCAGACAGTCCGTTGTAGAGGTCTCTAGGTCTGAGAGAGAAAGAGTGAGTCAGAGTGAGTGAGAGTGAGCGTGAGTGTGAGTCAGAGTGAGTAAGTGAGTGAGAGTGAGAGTGAGAGTGAGTGTGAGTGAGTGAGAGTGAGTGTGAGTGTGAGTGAGAGTGAGTGAGAGTGAGGGTGAGTGTGAGTGAGAGTGAGTGTGAGAGTGAGTGTGAGTGAGAGTCAGAGTGAGCGTGAGCGTGAGTGTGAATGAGTGAGAGTGAGTGTGAGTGCGAGTGAGAGTGAGAGTGAGCGTGAGAGTGAGCGTGAGAGTGAGTGTGAGCATGAGCGTGAGCGTGTGAGAGTGAGAGTGAGAGCCCGCCACGAAATCTGCACTTCGAGGTTCACAAAGCGCTGCGCCTGCCACGAAGTCTGCACTTCGAGGTTCACAAAGTGCAGTGTCTGCCACAAAATCTGCACTTCGAGGCTCACAAAGCGCTGGGCCTGCCACGAAGTCTGCACTTCGAGGTTCACGAAGTGCTGCGCCTGCCACACAACCTGCACTTCAAGGTTCACAAATGCAAAGTGCTGCGCAACCTGCACTTCGAGGTTCACAAAGTGCTGCACCTGCCACGAATTCTGCACTTCGACCTTCACACAGTGCTGCGCCTACCATCGAAATCTTCACTTCAACATACTTCAACGAAATCTGCACCCCAAGCTTCACAAACTGCTGCACCTGCCACGAACTCTGCACTGCACTTGAAGGTCCACAAAGTGCTGTGCCTGCCACGAAATCTACTTCACCTGCCGCGATTTATGAAAACGAGCCGCATGTAGAAAAGCCACGGTTCACTGCACCTGTCACGAAATTAGGGCACGCCCAATCTCACCACCATATCCAAAGTGCTGCCATGAAAACTGCATTTCCCTGCAAAACCGCTCCGATCCCTTACGCCTGTCACGACAAGTCAGACTTTGCACCACCAAAAAACGAGGTTTCCCGTGCGCCTGCCACGAAAAGTGACCACCATGTCCGAAAATGCGCACGGCGCCCCAACGAGAGCGCAGTCCCGACAAGCGCCCGCCGCGGCCACCCAGATTTTGGGAGCTCGCGCAGTCGAAATACACTTCGAGGATTTCGAGAGGCATGAATGTATAGTGCAAATAGCAACAAATTAGCTGGACGCCCCGATGCAACACCTCGACTAAACACCGGCCCTTTACACTTACCGTAAGAACCCCTGGTGTGACCACACTGTTTGGGGAACAAATAGAAAAACCAAAAAGATTATATTTATATCCAAGTTGCAGACATCTGAAATGCCTTAGATGCGTGAACCTTTCGGTAGCCAACTTCATACATTGAGGCCCAGGTCAGCAGACGCTGGCAGACACTGTCAGGCCCCACCTCTTCTCTATAAACTGGCATGCCGTGACCGCCTCACCATTGCATAAAAAGGTTCCAAGTGTCTGGCCTGATCGAACCAGGCCACCACAGGCTGTGGATTTACATCAATGAAGCAAGTATCATTGGTAGTAATCTATTTAGGATTATCTGAGTCTTTGATTTTTAACAGCTCTATTACAACGAAATCTAATGATTTATTACATGTTTATTTTGTATTCCAAATTCAATATTTTCGTCAATATTTGGTGATGCATTCGTTATGACCAAAAATAGATGGAATCACATTAAACTGAATGTCTATTCTTAATCCAGGTACGCGAGCTTTTGTGAACTGCCGTGAGAAAGAGTCAACAGTAATTCGCAAACATCCCGAAACCAGAGTGGATATATATATATATACATGTGATATCATAAATATACAGATATATTTTGGGAATGTCATGTTTAAACTAGTTTAGTTCTATTTTAAAAATCGACATACAACTTGTGCAATAACAGCAATATTCTAGATATACATATTCAAATATATATATATATACATGCATACATAAACATACATACATATATATATATATTATATAAAACTCTTTTGCTAAACATTAAGAACACGTTGATTATACGGAAAATGCAAATATCTTGCTGCATTTATCAAAAACGTAGATCTATTTTCGGATGATAAATCCATGTCGCACACATCTGACATGTTTTTAGTTCACAGCACTGAGGTTCAGCCCAGCAGACGTTGGCAGAGACTGGCGGGCCCCAGCCCCACCTCGTCTCTATACAAAATGGCATGCCTTGATCCCCTCAAAATTGCATAGAAAGGTCCGGGTGCCCACCTACTGCCCTGTTGGGCAAGGTGAAGTGTCTGGCCTAATCGGTCCAGGCCACGGCAGGCTGTGGATTCACATCTGAACTGTTTTAGATGTGTGCGCGGACCTTGGGCTACCAAAGCTCAAAGCATTGAGGCATATTGAGGCTCAGGCAGGCCCCAGCCCCACCTCTTCTCTGTATGCCTTGACCCCCTCACTCCTCACCTTAGCAAAAAAAAGTCAACATACCCACCTACTGCCCTGGAGAGGGCCAAGTGTCTGGCCTGATCGAACCAGGCCACCACAGGCCGTGGATTTACATCCATGTACGTTGGACACATCTGACATGTTTTAGATGTGTGAACCTTTGGCTAACCAAGTTCACTCTGACGCTCGTTCTAGCATCAAACCTGTTTTGTGCTATCACAATGGCTGGGAAACGCCCTGGACTGTATTCTGACATCTTCGTTGGTATATGGGACCCAGTTCAGTCCTGCTATGTGTTCTGACATGTATTTGGACATGTTCTGCCTTCAAAGATATCCTCGCATTCTATCTGGCATAAAATCATTCTGCTTGGTACTACTTGGCATATGCTCTGAACTCTATCTTGCAAAATTGCGTGGCATTCTATCTACCATAGCCGCTACCATAACTGCTTGCATATTATGTTGCATCCTTGCTGGCATTCTATCTGGCATATACTCTGGCATTGTAGTTGGCCAAAAGACTCTGGCATGTTATCTGGCGTACATTCTGACATTCTTTCTGGCATACATTCTGACCTTCTATTTGGCATATGTTCTGACATGCTATCTGGCACATTTCTAACATTCTATCTGGCGAGGTCCGGCGTGGTGCTTGCCGTTGAGGTCCGGTAGTGCCCACTGCGATCTGGCACTTGCAGTTGAGGCCAGGCAGTGCACACTGCAATCTGGCGCTTGCAGTTGCGGTTCGGGAGTGCTCACTCACTGCGATCATGCACGTTAGCCCGCTGGCAGTTGAGGTGCGGTAGTCAAGGAGAGGAGAGAGCTGTGATAAAACCTAACAACCCTTATCTGGCAGGTGGCAAACTCGAAGTCTACTTCCACCAAGTGTGTTTTGGGGGGAGCTGAGATGGATTGACCCACAGGGTATGGAAGCATCTTCGCGTGAAAAATTGTAGGACCTTGCATGCTTGTGATCATATTGCATTCGGATCCAGCTGAAATCTGTGCGGTCGAACTAATTTGGCGAAAAAGGTCACCAGGAGCACTCTTTTCTTCTGTGATTAAAAGGTGCTTTGATGAAACCAACAGAGGTCTTAACCCAAGAGCCCCATCCTGCTTTGAGGGTACGGAATGGTACAAACACCTGCGAAGGTGTCGGGAGGGTCAGACGCTATGGAGGGCCCAAGGATTCTCAGGGTAGCAACCAAGCAAGTTTGGCAGGCCAGTGGTCTAGGTACTCCTGATCTTGTCATACTTCGTCACCAGTGCAGTCCTTCCCAGCTCAGGTGCTTCCTGGGCAGGGCCCCATTAGTGCGGCACCCTACCTGCGGAGTCGGCTACAGGCGACTCCTGGGTGGTGTGCCAGGGTAGCAACGCCTCGGCCGTTGACTCTTGCCACCATGCTACTACTACCTCCTTTTTCACCAGCCGTTGCTGAAACACGTGGCTTGGAGGGTTTTGACCGCTCTGACGGCCGACTTTATTTTCCACTGAACGTCCGCAGGGGCTCAGCAATGAGGAGCAGAAGGCCATCCGACGGCGCTTGCGGCTGCGTTTGGGTGCGATCAGCTCAACCAAGTGGCTTTGGCGCATTGGGATCGGTTGGGATGGTCACGGCGCGTCTGGTGGGTGTGGATGGGTGGAGAAACCAGATGGGTGGAGATCCACTCGGGATCCCTCAGATCGGTGATGACGACGAATCACCACGTTTTTGGATCGAATGATATCGAATGAAAGGATTTATCGGTGGGATCGAATGAGAAGCTGATGAATTTCATTGGGGGAGATTGGAAAAGTAAATGGTAGTAGATGGATATCGCAGTGGGTCTGGACATCCTTTGATAAAGACGCCCTTTCAGAAAAGGAGGTTTGAGAGAGGAAAGATGTAGGCAAGGAAAGTGTTCGCATGAATTACAAAACACTTGGATAAATTTGCATGAACGAGGGGGCATCGTTTGACGGTGTTTTTACAACAACGTTGAAAAAGACACGTATACTCGAGCAAAAGAGCATGCTTAATGTTGATGAAAACTGATATTTTGAGAAGGACCAATCCTTAACTTATATAGACAAGGAGTATATATGTAATGTGGTTATTCCAATGGGGAAGATTTGAAGAAAATGATCCCTCAAAGAAGGACGTTTCAACCCAACATGTTGTGTATCTCTGCAAGAACTCTTGAACATAAGCAGTAATACGATAGCTTCTTGTGGGGGTGCATCATCTTTCATTCATGGTCTTCCAAATTATTTTCCGTTTCCAGGTTTATAGAGCGCGTATGACCACAATCTATCAATAAGCAAGTATACTGACAGGTACAAGGGTCACCACTGGACTGGTCACACAGCGATTCTCGACAACGATTCTCAATGAATTCGACGAACTCGACTGGTCACCCACCGACCTTTTTGAGGTTGGTCTCTGGGCGTTCGCTGCATGACGCAGTGTGCTCACTGGGCTTGACGAGGTATAGCCTTGAAGAGACACTGGGCAGACTGGCGTTTTTTTTGCGTTTTGGCCTGTGTGGGCTGTGTGTGGCCGTGTGGGGGATTTTTTCGTATCCCTACTACCCGGTTTGGAGGGTTAGGGCTTAGGAGGGTTGCAACTTAACACGCACTGTAAACACGAACTGTTTGATCCTGAAAAAAGAGGACACACAGGGGGGTTGGCCGAAACGCTCGAAGCAAACTCTCACGGAGATCGAAACTGTTGGTGACTTGCCTTTTCTGTCGCAAGATTCAACGTCTATTATTTTACTATAGGTTGGGTTTGGGCCTTGGGCTTGCCAGTGTGGAGCAGATATTCCTGGAAGACTGGAGAGAAACCAAAGTTTGCATCTAGTCATCTAATCTCACTTGAAGACAGACTGAATGCAGGATGCTGAAAGGAGATAGATGGTCATTTGACCAGGTGGTGCATGGAGCTGAGTACAAGAAAATCATGAGGAGACACAAGGAATGCAAACACATCAAGAAGGACATCGGCCGAACCAACAATGTACCCGAAGTACATACACTTGTACCCCCCCCCTAAATTGTACCTCCAAGGCTTGGGTTGTCCAATGGAGATCCACAAGCAGTGTGGGGGCTTCCATTGGTGAACCCTTGGAATGTGCTGGTACACACGCTACTAGGAACAAGAAGCTATGAGGGGCTCCTGGCATCGCTACTAGGAGCAAGGACGCTACGAGGGGCTCCTGGCCTTACTAGGAACAAGAAGCCACCAGTGACAAAGGGCATCACTACTAGGAGCAAGGACGCTACTAGGAACTTCCTTTGGGTTCGCGCCCCACAGTTTGGCCAGAGTTCGAGAGTCCCTCCCTTTGCGTCCTGTGGAGCTGGTTTCACAACGGAATCACCATGCGGGTTAGTTGGAGATTGATAATTTATAAGGAAATTCCAGTCCAAAAAAATTGATCTGATATCAGTAGGAGTGGTGGACATCTGATAGCATATGAATCAAGCATCGATGAGGTAATTCAGATCAATCGCAAAGAACAAAACGGTTGCTTATTCCTGAGCCTGTGTGGCCAATCCAAAACGGTTTTAACAACTCCCCTATAGCCCTACGGCCCTGCCCCTCGCAAAGGGTGTTTCTTAGCAGCTTTGCTTTACCGTGATCGTCGATGGTCTCCTGGCAAGCCAACCATAGGGCTAGGGAACGGTTCATGACCCAAAGTAGCGGAAGATGCCTCACTGTTTGTCATGTTTCTTCAGCGTTTTGTTGACCCTTCATCATCGATCCAACAATTCTGGAAGAGGACGAACGATCCAGTTTGTAGAGTGTGTTGTGAGGAGACACATGGTATCTTTCCCGTTTTCAGAAAAAACACGTGCTGAGGATGAACGATATCGTGAACCTGCTGGCAGCCTTTATCGGCCACTCGTTTTCGCGCCGTCTTCGATCGGAACGCTTCGGACCGGTGAACCGACCCGTGAGGTGCCGGAGAGTAGCGTGCTTCGTTCCCGTGGGAAAAGAAACCATGGGTCACTTTCAATTATGACCATCTACCAACCATAGCCGATGTTGTCGTTTGTCACTAGTTTTCCCCACAAGCCCTACTCGTTTTTTGTCGACTCACGAAAAAACGTCGGGGAGACCGTAGCACCACGGCCCACCATTGACACGGCGAAAGAAGGACCGGACCATGGCTCCCGGTGACGAGTTCTCGAACGAGTTCGAACCGCCCATGTCCTCAACAGTCGACGGTCAAACCGTGTGTTTCTCACGAGAATCCTTTTCGTGACGAGAGGGTCGGAAGGATGAAGAATCTTCTTCTCTGACTGGTCGAAATCTTTTCGGGAGACATTGTTGGCCAACGAATTCCAATGTGTGAGTATAACTGAGTGTATGTGAGTCGAGACACACGACCTGTGGATGGTTCTATCATGTTACATTCCAAACATATCCAAACATGGCAATAAGATGCAAGATGATGCAACAAGTATATTGTATACTGATGTATACTGTAGGCTATATAGGTGGTAGTATGATACACTGGAGAGGGTGCATGAAATCATCGCAAGCGAGGTCATTTGTGGCCCATGTTCAAATCTGTAATAATCATTGTGGGGAACCCCCTCCCAACCTGGTTCTGCCCCACTATGGGGATCAATTTTTGTTTTGTGGATTGAAGACCGGAATCGGAAGACTCCTTTCCCCCAGAATTGTCATGCAGGCTCTGAAACACCTTCGCAGTCTCTTCTGGTGTGAGGAGCAAGGTTTGAAATCAGCGTGAATCAGCATTGGAGAGTTGGTAGTGACTGAAGATCGTATAGGAATAGCCTTCCCATTTCTGGGCTCCAACTTAACCCTGGAACAATCGTGGAAGGCTTCTTGGATGACCATTCTCGTCTATTTTCACTTAACCACGACCATTTCAGGGAGTGTAGCTCTTGTGACACAACCCTCTTCTCGTAGTAACTCGTAGTCATCTGCTGGTTTCGGATATTTCTATTTTCAACCCTTACTTGGGGATGATTGGACCCTCTGACTCATATTTTTCTGTCGTGGGTTGAAAACACCAACCGGTCGTAGAAAATCTGCTGTTTTGGAACGTGAAACCGGAGCCGTGTGGATCTTTTTGAGGCCACCTTTTGGCCGCTCCTGACGTCACGTATGGCGCAGTCGGTCAGAAGACTTGTCGGCTCCTCTGCAGGTCTGCACTTCCATCAGAGTGAGAGTGCGAATCGTATCTCAGACAAGATCTTTGCCAGCTTGACAGAGGCAGATTTGGGCCGTTGGGCTTTTGACACCGTAAAACAGAAAACTGAAACTATCTGAAACTGGGTCGATGTGGATGTATCCCAGCAAAACGGTGCACAAGCAGCTTCAAAAGGAATTCGCAAGACTCGGTGGTGATAGATATTCGTACTCAGAATGTTTGATGCTCTTCCAGAAGTTTGAGATTGCATATATAATATATACTAGAGCTGGAGGCCACCAACCAGAGGGGCTCTGAGTGATCCCAACACCAATTCTGGAAGTGATATGGCACGCAGCATGTTCTCCTCAAAGTAGACTTGCCTCATTGGCAAAGGGTCAAACAACTTATGCACAGTCTCTCCAGCTATAGACCATGTTTCAAAGCTGTTTGGTGGCTTCAAATGCGGAGTCTCAGAGTGCACCTGTCACCTGCCCCAGATGTAATGCTGACGCTTTAGTGGTTGCTGGCCTGTGATGGGTTACACTTTGAGACACAACATCTTCTGTATCCCACACCATGGCCCCAAGTTGGTTCAACAGTATGATTGAAGGTTGGATGGGTGGGCACCTCGGGAAGCCCAGTGAAGTCCAGCAGTTTACCACCGGTGAAATCCATTCTTTTAGGCTTCTCGATGTTCTTTTTAGGTTTTTTTAGGGTTAAAACCTATGGAAAATCCGGTTAAATCCGTCTTTTAAGGGATAACACCTATGGAATCCGCTCCCTTCCACGGCCCGTCCTCTGGGGCTTTCTCGTCCGCCAGACGTGAACACCGAAAAACCATGCGTCGTCACGGACGAAGACATTCGCCCACTGCAACCAGTGTTCTGGCAAGATGAGAACACTAGTTGCACTGTGGTTTCAGCCTACCTCGACAGCACCTGTAAGATCCTGTAAGATGTTGTGAGGAACAGGTCAAGGTGCTTCATCACTTTTCCAAAACGGTTTTCTCACCTAGCGTGAAGGTTGGTCAGGACCTCCAGCTTCTTGAGCCGGACCATGTCAACCCGTCCTTCTCAAAAAGCGGTGACCATGTCAGGATCTGCAGAAGTTTGGTACGCCCGTTTGGGAATGGCCCCATTTGCGTGAGAGCACCTTGGAGACCGGTGGAGTTCGGGGAGCAACATGAAGGGGGGAGAGACGGTGCCATGGATTCAGGCGTCGTTTTTGGGTGGTCAGAGGCACAAACTGGTACTTGCTAACAGAACAAAGGCTAAACAGGCATACTTTAATGGCACAACTGATTCAACTGATATACTGGAGATAGACGTGTGGAAACTCATCACACTTGTTCGATGCTCACAACTTCAATTCCATACTACTTGGAGAACAGTTCGTGGGACCATCCCTATCCTTGATAGCCGTTGCCGAAGCCGGAGGGGGAGCGGCTAGTTCTAGTCAGTGTCGCACACTCCAGGTGATTCGAGACATGGAGTATAGTTGTCAATTCAATTACCTGATTGATTGTTTGCATTTACCACCTGGTGGTGCCTTGGGGTCCTTCTTGACGAGGTTTCGGCTGCCATCCCAAACATCCGTTGGGAGTGCTAAGCCCTTCAGTATCGTTTTACTTATTTATAAAAGAAAGCAACAGTCGCACCGTGCTTTTTTTTGCAAAACCACATTCTCCAGCGAACCCGGTTTTGGGGGGCCGAAGCTTGCGAGATCTCGATGTGTCAAATCTGTGACGCTTTGCCAGTCCTTTAAAATCACCAAGTGCGGAGAAGAACCCATCGGAAAGCTAAAGCTGGGACACGCCGGGACTTTTGAGAGCGCTTCAAAAGAATGACGGACATATCTAATATATATATATATATAGGGATATTATGATATATATATATTAATATAGAATCACATAATAATCCCCCATGATATTCTGACTAGAAAATGGGAGGGGTTGACGTGTGTAGAAAACAGGCATTTTTTAGTCTCAAGGAGGTAAACTCACCGGGAAGGGGTCAGGTATGGCATTTTCTAGTGACATGTAACAATGTAGGTCACTAGAAAATGAGGAACACAGGTCTCATAGGCATGCTGGCAGGGTCATTTTTTAGACATCACCTTGTTTTCTTGATCCCACCGTGAGCCTCATTTTCTAGTGGGGTTCCTCATTGTCTAGTGGCTTTTGTTTCTCGACCAGCACCTGGTACACCCAAATCCTCAGACACTGCCATACCCTACCATTCCATATTTGGCACTCTGGCCAGAAATGGAAAGGTGGGGTATCCAGCCAGACCAATTCACTACAAGATGATGGGTTGTAGGTCTTTAGGGTGTGTTCCTCAATTTTCTAGTGGCTGTGGTGTTGTCTCGACCAACACCTGGTACATCCAAATCCTCAGACACTGCCATACACAGAGTTTGGTAGCTGTTGTTCAATCAACATGCTTTGTTTGCTTTTGGACGTCCTCACAACATTTAGATGATGTAGGAGAAAGCAGGATCAAAGCAGGACCCGCTAAAGAATCATAATCGCACGTCAAGGCACCAGAGCATTCACTAGAAAATGCCAAGCGCAGGCTCACAAAGAAGACGCACCAAGACGCGCCAATCACGGGTCCAAGAGGTGTGATTGACATTTGAAGTCATTTTCTAGTGATTCACTAGATTATGCCAATCACGGGTTCATGAAGCTGCGTTCCTCATTTTCTAGGGGGCTGACATTCATCATTCCCCAGGAAATCACTAAAGAATGGGTAGGACTGACCCCTCCATGTGATTTTCATGGGGGGTCACATATATATATATATATCATATCACAACATGTCCGCCTTAACTCAAAGATACTTTACTGTAGAAGTCAGAGTAGTCATTTCTAGAAATCACCATGTGAAAAGACGTTTTTTCTTTCAAACGTTTTTCCTCCTTCGTTTCGAATGGATCATTCTTCCCTATTTTTCCCACCCCCGGGTGTATGGCGGATTTGTCGCTCTCCTGTCCCTCCTCGCAGGTACCTTCTCCAACTCTTCGATCCATCGGAGTCAGACGGCTTTGGGATTGATCGACAAGCCGGTCGGGGCACCGAGCGCGGGGAGCGCGGAGCACGTGAGATGGAGATGTTGTGCCTGTGGCCCGTGTTGGTTGAAGCGCCTTTTGGTGGGAAACTAAAGCCAATTGTGGGGGTCGCGAGGTGCAACTTGGCGCAAGTTGGGGAACTTCAGTGGCTATGATATTACTTATTCAAGGGATGATCGAGTATCAGACTATGATGCGGGGCATGTTGGTTTCCATCAAAGATATGGGTGCATGAGAAGAAACACGACAGCGTAGCATGTCAGCGGTGAACCCAGTTGCCTCTGGTAAGTTTGAAATTGTTTGAAGGTAGACAAACCATCACCACCATCAAATTAAACTAGTGTATGCACATATAATCATATTATATATATATATATACAAACATGTGATATCCCATTGTTCCTGAGGTTTGGATGTGTTTCAAAAGTACAAACTGCAGTTTTTGCATTGCGGCGTGTCTAAAACATTGGACACTTCGGAGCAGAATTGTCCAGATCGGCATGAAAAGCAACATTGGTTTTCTTGCGTATCATTGTGAGCATTGGAACCGTGAATTGGACGTTCCTTCGTCTCTGAGGCAAGCGTGGAGTACAACGTGGTGCCTGCTCAGGCGCTCATGGAGCTCTTCCTAGCGGAGGAAGGTGCTTGTCGATGTCGATGTCGGGCATCAAAGCGGTTAGGAGCAGCCCTAACCAACATGATTCTTGTCATCCTTCCCTACAGAAAAGTCTACTCCGCAATCCTTGCCAACACAATCCTCTCAATCCTCAATCCTCTCCATCGAATCATTCCTCCACGCCCGACACCATCGCTCGCCTCGCGACGGCCTCAAGCGACATCGAGGCGACATCCACAAGCGGATCTTGGGCAGCAAACTGCTGAAGCCCTTCCACGCGGTGCGAGAGATCCTCCTCGCCGGCGACACCAACCGTCCCTAAACGGGTAAACATGGAAACAGAGGGAAACGGGGTAAATAGAGCACCCCGCTGCAAATGAACATGGAACCTGAGAATTGACCCGTGCTTGCGACGTCTTTCGACCAGTTTCCTCTACAACGGAGTGGTTGTGGGGTTCCTATTCATCTGCAGGGGAGTAACGCCTTCGGTCCGTGGTACGTTGATTCTGTAATGTTTTATGGCGGAATCATGTGGTGAGTATGCTTGAAGTCCACTATATATCATTATATATCTTATATCAATATGGAGTCAGACTGGGCAGTTCACCTGAAAGACGCAGATGCAGCATTTTTGGGACGTCTTCACAACTGTTTGAGCAACATCCCCCGTTCTTGCTTGGATGTGAAGCTTGCATTCCGCAGTACCTGCTATTTCCAGAAGTGGATGTGCCACTTTGAACAAGTGGCTGGCATCTCCTGACCGACGGCCACGGTCCTGACCAACCTTTGTCCGGCCGAGGCTTAGTCGCGGAGCTCACCTTTGTCCGTCACTGGGAGTGATGTGAACATCAGCAATTGGTAATGCCACGCGCTACGTACTAGTTAGATCTAGTTAGCCGCGTCCTTGCTATCGTAGGTAGCGATGCACCTTGCTACTAGTATAGCTTCTTGTTACTAGCAATTAGAAATGCCGGGAGCTACTAGTAGCTATTTGCTCCTAGTAGGAATGCCCCAAATGTTCCTAGCAGCTTCTTGTTACTCGTAGAAATGCCAGGAGCTACGTTCGTAGCGTTCTTGCTACTAGTAATACTAGTGGCGATGCCCTTCTTGACATGGATATTTAGTCATGTAGAGAGTTGATCATTGATGACTTGTTTATCGAACATTTAACAAACTACCTGGATTGTAGATATTGTAGAACATCTCCATGTGGGTGGTGTTATACCGGGTTCTTGAGCCCCCCCTATTTCAATGTTGTTGATTGAACTTGAACAGCTCTTGCAATGGTATGTTCTGAAGAACCCGGTATCAATCACCAGTCTACAAAACCAGACCACACGGCCCAAACACGTTCTTTTAGCGAAGGGTTTTCGTTTTCTTTTAGCGAAGGGTGTGGGCATAGGTTGTTGTTGCCGACCACAGTTTTATGCTTTGTTACATTGTTACCGGAGGATCCACAGGAGTTGACGCATGTTGACGCTCATCGGGGACGCAAAACGCGCTTTTTTCATGGCCGTGGGTCGTGGGTCATGGCACCGCAAAACATGCTTTTTTCTCCCAGAACCTGAGCTGAATAGACGACCTACAGGAGGTTAATGTACCAGTGTGAAACAGGGCTTCCGCGATGGCGGACCCTCCTTACACACCCGTTGGTTGTGAAACGGGTTTGTGAAGGTATCAGAAATGACATGCAGCCACGTGAGTCAACGTGATTTAGTCAGTAACCCTAGCGAAAGATAAGGACAACAACCACATCGGATAAGACCACATAAGGCCACCAAGGGGGGGTTTCACACACCGATTTTTGCTCCGTTCACAGCCGGTCCCGGCCACACCCAGGCATCAACGATCTGGCTGCGCCACCAGAGCCTTTGCACCCCTTGGTGCCGTGGAGGAAAGCACTGAGTGCAGCAGTTGAAACATGTTTGTTGTTGGTACACCTTTGTGAAGCAGAGGGTGCACCTCCTTGTTCGCTGATTCGACTGGGGACACAACTCAGGTGATTCTGGAGCCATTTGTGGCCGTGTTGATTGTGTGCAATGGAATCATGTCACTTGGCAAAGTGGAGTGCGGTTCCGATAAGTCACTTTGACAGCAACCAAATGTGTTGCATTGCTTTCGCCCAAAGACCACTGGGGTAGTGAGAATCGACCTTTTCTGTACTCCAAGATACTCCAAGCACCTTCACAGAAGGTTGGACCCTCCAACCCAGAAGGTTGGATTCTCCAAGCAGGTTTCAATCCAGTTCATGCTGTTCATCAACTGTGGATATCATGTGGATCCTTCTGGCGGGTTGCGGCACGAATGGCGGTCCTTAACGGGGTGACTCACCAGTCAAAGGTCACTGAGAGTTCACTCGTCAAGTCCTTAAGGTATTGATGTTCGAGAATATAAACACTGGTTTTGATTACTGTGGTAGTCTTTACTCTTGGGTAAAGTCCCTTCTACGGAATAGTTGGCTTATTTTCCCGGTTCCTTAAGCCTTAAGAAAATCCAAGAAACCCATGTTCAAAACCTTTAACAGTCAAGTGGTCGAGTCTGGTGGATGGAGTGGATGGCCGATGGCAGCACGTTGATGTAGAGAAGGCAGGTTGAGCGAGGCAGGAGTTGGCCAATGTAAAGTCATCACAGGATGTACGGACCCCAAGGGTTATAAGGGTTGTGAACAACATCATGTTGGATCCTTTTGGGAAGGATTCACATCTCGTCTGACGGATCCGGAAGGATATGCGAGTTCCCTCTCGTCATGTGAGTCCGTCGCCGTTGGCTATGGTGTCGGGCCCATGGAGGCGGACCGTTCGGTGCCCCCGAAAATGGTCACCGGCCGGTGTAGCTGGCGTAGCTCCATCCGGTGTCCACGGGGTGTAGCTCAACCAACCCCGGACAGAAAGTACAGCGAAGGCCCAGGCGATCAGGTCTTTTTTGCTGGAGTAGAGTCGATTTGGTGGGTTGGATTCTGCCTCAGAAATGCATGAATTGCTGTTGATGGGTCCAGATTGGTCAGAAAGCCCTTTCATGCAAAGGCTATAATTATATATATATATATTATGTATACATATAGGTACTGTGGACGACCCAACCACCTTCAGTCCCCCACCATTCAGATCTTAGAAAGATTCCGCCCGGGCTTTTCCGTGGCCTTTGCCCTCGTTTTGGTCAACCCGAGCCCCGAGTCGGGAAGGATTGGCTTTCAGACGGACCCCGCGTGGGCAGACTGGGAGGGCTGGGGGCCCATGGATGCTCGGATATGCTCGGTGCATGTTGGGCGGGCTCCAAGCACAACTGGGTTCCAGGGCAGTGTCATGCTCGGAAGAGCTGGCAGCGAACGTTTCGTGGACCCGACCCAAACTCTCAGAAAGGATGTCCAAGTGTCGTAAGATCAACAGAAGCAGCAATTTCCGACCCTCCTGGAACAAGGTGCCGTTGTTAAGGACCCTGGAGTTTCCAGCCACTTTGTGTAGGGAGTGAGATTTCAGGGGTCACTAATGACGCTGGCAACCATCATTCATCTACATGGTAGGTGCGTTTTGGCCAGACGGGTCCGAGCAAGCTGCCGGTGGGCGGCACGACTTAAACATGCGCAGGTGTTTTGTGTTTTTTTTTGTGTACTGTAGCTCCAGGTAGCAGCCTTTTGCGGTCCCTCCCGAAAACTAACATGGAACCTGAAAATTGACCTTTGGCAAACTGTTTTCCCCTACAACCCCGTGGTTTTCAGGTTCCATGTTGATCTTCCCGGGTGTAAGGTATTCCCATCAATGCATTGAGAAGAACAAAGATGTCAGACTTGGACTCCTTGTTCAAACGAGTTTAAACGTTTACAAAAGCGACCTTTGAATTGTTTGGCTCAATTGGGCTCCTTCCATGCTCCGAAACCTGCACCCCAAATGAGTTGCCACGAACGTTTCTTTCCCTCCGGAATGAACGTGGCGCTGAATGTATTCCTGGACCATCCTGTGTTGGGTGTCCTGGCTGGAGATCCCAAAGATTTGGACACCTGTCGATAGGAGGGTCCGACGGTTTGCTCGTTTTGGACAAAGAAATCACCTGGAATTACCTGGATACCTCACTGAGCCTTTTGTGGAGCAGCGGCCACCTCCCGACATGAATGTGTTCACTCAGGAGGCGGTCTTTGCCAGTTTTCTGGTGCTGGAGATCTTGACCCGGATGCATTTGCTGGGCTGCCGTGGTTTCTGGTGCTGGGTTTGCAAGTGTGGGGATTGGACAGCAAGGCGGGACGTTCTGATGGTCGGGAGAGAGCCAAAAAACAATATGTTCACAACTGGTGCCCTCAGACCAGTCGTGAGTATTTGTTGCATAGGATTTTTGTTACTACTGTGTATATATATACAGTATATATCTCATTCAGTTTGATTATAAGAACACTAACCCACTGGTCAACTGCCGGAGTTCACTGCTCCAGTCAGTGAGATAAGTTGGGCTTTGTCTTGGGACGTGTAGGGTTGCGCTAGATGGTTTTAGGGGCGTTGTTGTAGTAAATCTGTCAAGGATGATTCAAGGATGTTGTGAGAACTTTGTTGATGTGTCATGTGGCTGGAGGGATCCATCCATGTCCCCAATCTGACCTGCTGTACACCTGCCAGAATGTAGCCACATTTGGAAACCGTTTGCAGGGAAAACCCTCGTGTGGGACAAGGGTGGAAACAAGACCACGTGCCCCCTCCAATGGTCTGTATGGTGTTCACAGACTTAACCTGTACACTGTACACGCTGACCCATAGGGTTTTCATCATCAAGATCCAATCCACCAGGCTAAGCCAAAAAAAAGGAAGGGACATGATGGCTATGTGAAATCAGTCATTGGCCTGGGAGGAAGTGCAGGTGCAGCTAAAAAGTTGCCAGGGATTGCACGATCATCTATCCAGATTAACAATAATTTGTGCTTTTGCACAAGAGTCACTAGCGATTGCTAATGGCTTTCTCATCCCACTATTATGTCCTGGGTCGATGGTGACACCTGGTTCTTTGTTGGCTTCTTTGCGGCGCTGTTCGAGAAGTTGCGGACAAATGCAAAAGCTGAAAGCCCAGCAGTCAATGCGAAACAGCATCATTGGCACACAGTGGTTAAGTTCTTTTCACCTAAATACTACTAACCAAGCACATTTTGCCTGTCTAAGCCTGCAATCGCATTGACAGCTGGGCCCTGTAGGCCCTGTTCTTCTCTTCGAACCCCCCCATACCTCATAGCCTCATCGGAGGTTTCAAACATCGGGGCTTATCGTGGCTCTTTGATGAGCCCTTCAGGACTACATGGAGCAGACAGACTAAGGTGGACTGTTGATTGGCAACCCCCCTACCAGACTGGCTTTACATCTCCATATGGGGAAGTCATGAATCAACCGTCTACATTCAGTTCACAAACGCTAGAGATAGGTGATATATACCTAGAACCTGATTGACCTCTGTTTTGGAGCCAAAGCATTGTCTTTTCCTATCAAAACAGAGGTCAAATCTGTTCTGATTCTAGGTAATTATATATATAATATAGATATTATATATATAGAGAGCGGCGGACCGTCCCAGGTGGGGTGAAGAAACCAGCTGGATGCTCGGACCGCACAAAGTTGGGCCGCTGGTGGCCTCCAGCTGCGAGGGTTCCCTCGAGGGTTTGGGCGGACAAGCAAAAAACAACTTTGCTAAGCGCAGTTTGGGCCGTTTTCCAGCGAAGAGACTAAGCTGGGCCATGCTGGACCATGAGTGTTTCTCTGCCGTTCCTAGCGGTGGTTCGGGTAAGCAAAAAGGCCAGGACATATTGGGAAGGGGATAGTCCTGAAATCTTTGGTGCAAGAAAACTAAGAACTGCATGGATCTGTCGAATGAACCTTGGTGCACCCTGACTGAAGAAGTATGCCACATGGCTCGAGATGACCCAAAACATGCTAGGAGGGACTGGACATTCCCTCATTCAGAGGCTCCAGGATCACTCGGAGGATGCATTTTAGACTTGATCATTCTTTGATACTATATAATTACGCGGAGCTGCATCGGACCGGATGGGCAAAGGGGGGTTTCTCCGACCAAGTGCGGTCACCGAAATCAAAGAGGTCGGAGAACCTCGCGATGGAGCGCTCGGCGCTTGGGGAACAAGAACCTAGCACACCTGGGTCTCTGCCGTAGCTCCGTCGCCGGGGAACGGGTTTGATGCCATGAAGAGGGGTTCTCCAGCCAGTTTTCGAAAGCTGTGTGGATATATATATATATATATATTTATGCATATATATATATATATGTGGATCTAACCATGCCTTATAAAGGCTTCATTCTATATACCCAAGCCGTGTCTTGTGGGTGACCCTATGTGACCCCGCGTCGGACACCTAAAGCGCTTTGAATTGTAATGGATCAAAATGAGAGATAGTGACTAGTAAAGTCATCAAGAGCAGAGAATTCAGTAGACAATTCATCAAATATGTTTCAGGAGAAAAGTTATCAACAGTAGAGATTTTAAGGGGAAAGGCATCGAAAGTAGAGATTTTGACTATAGACAAGTGCATCAAAAGTAGAGATTCTTACTAGAAAAGTCCTTAAACAACATAATGTTATACATATTTTCAATAGATAAGTCATAAAAAGTCGAGATTTCGATAAGAGGATGGGGTTACATGTCGACAGGCAGGATATCCAGGTTTATTGTTGTTTAAGTTAGATTGGTTTGATGGTGTCTCAGACCTTGGATGATGAGCCGGCAGCTGCTTTGGTCTGACTTTGTTCAGCAGTTGCACTTCGAGTCTTCATGTTTCAACACTCGAGGAACTTCTTCGATCTCTTTCTGGCCATGACGGGCTGTGTGGACATCATCGCTTCGCTGGCATGTTTGGGTGTGCATCAATACCCACAAAGGTCTCAGGTGGACTGCAGGTCCTGATGTTGGGTGGTCCGACTGCGGCTGGTGGGGCATGCCGCACGGCACCCATGAAAACTGTCTGACACCGCAAGCGAGAGAGAGCTTCTCGCGGATCGGGTGATGTCTATATTTGTTCCCGGGTGAATCCGCCTGGGGAAGAACTGACGGCTCGCCTCAAATGAAAAGCCTTGGACTCTTCCATTTCTTGGGCGCGAAAGTCAAGGAACGTATGCTGCATGTTTTTGCATGCACTCACCAGATCGCTGTGGATCGGTCCAGTCCGGGCCAATTCACAGGTTTACCGGTTTGTTCCTGAAGCAGTGGAGTTCATGAGGCTACAGAGTCTGCAAACAAATTAAACCCAGCATGCTGCATGCTTCCAAAAACCAGAAACATAGGAATATTGGATTTGAGAGGCCAAAAACGTTTTTTTTGTTTTTTTTACTTTGTCAATCATTGAATCAACCCGCCCCTGGATCCAAGTCATGGTTTCAGTCAGGGTTTTCTTGGCCTATGAGTCTATGGTTGATATGTGTTGACAGACACAAGTGACCTCTGGAGTTCAAGCTGGACATACTGGGCAATGCTGGCATGTTGTGATGTTGTGGTGTGCAACGTCGTGAAAGGTGCATCGTTCTTCGAACCTTCAGGCCGCGTCCCAGGCCGCCCGAAAGGGCCATGTCACGCTGCTTGCCACGCCAGGTGCAACAAGTGGGGCAAATGGACTCCGGGATCTTCGGGACCTCGTTGCTCAGGCGGCCCGACGGACGACCCCGCACGGCCGGTCGTTGTCGTTGGCCGACGTGGAGGCGAGGACCAGGTCGGGCGAGCTAAGCAGCAGGGAAGCTCCCTATGGATCCGACCACCTTCATAACCCGATTGTGATCGGACCGCTTGGACGGCTAGGAGCTGTTGATGTCCGTGGGAACCGTTTCAGATGGTTTGGAAGCGGGGGCCAGTCGTGCTGTTCATTTGGTACTGTACCTTGTCGTCCTCACGAGGATGCCCGGCGGCAGTTTGGTTTGCCGGGGTGTTCTGATGTGGTTGAGCTATAGGATCAAGTTAAATGGAGGTTTTGTGAGGAGTGTGTGGTTCAAGCTTTCATCGCGTTCATTCTTTCACACACATCCCATATCCATATCCATATCCATATCCTACGATGTAATGATTTTGATTTTGGTGACTTTCCTGTTGCTGACGTTGACATACACACACATACTCACCATGACAGAAAGAATGCCGGGCTGTGCTTCAATATCTTCAATGGAACATGTATTCTAAATGATATGCATGCTGCGTCTCAGTCCGGGCAGCAAGACCCTTGTGCCTGAAGAGGAAGCTTCATGACTAGAAGAGGAACTCATCCACCCAGCTCCAAGAATCTGAAGCAGCTTCAGGCGGCTTCAGTTTTTATTTTGTTTGTGACCAGAGCGTTGTTTTCCAGCCCCATGTTCCCTTGATTCTGCAGCCCTGTGTCGGTGGTAAAAACATGGCCTGAGTTGTGCAGCCCTTTGCTTGTAACTGCCCGCTTATATAAGTGGAGTTGCTTCTTTCCAAGAGTCTAAGGTCTACGGGAGCTTGTGATGTCTCTTAAAAAAAGGGACCATACAATCAATTCAATGTTTCTCTACAAAAGCTCATGACATAGACATAGACGGCCGTTGGCGTTTGTGCCGGCAACTCTGGAGCTGGGCACGGAGTTTTGTCCTTGAGGTTTTTCTTGATTTTCGCTCCGCGAAGCACCACGCCTAAACAGAAAGGGATTACTTTTCAGGACTTTTGGAGTATAGTGGTCCCCAAGCAGATGGAGACGGTTTCCAAGACATTCTGAATGTGGGGGTCTACTTTTCTATCGACGGTCTTTTTACAGCCCAGTTGGGTCCTTCTTCTTCGCAGCACCTCTGGTCGGTCGGGAGGTTTTGTCGCTTGATCCGATTGGTGCGCATCGTCAAGGTCTTTAGGCCGGCGTACTGGGGGGGTGGAGACGGGTGAAAAGGGCGTTTGAATATATGTATATATATATGTGTGTGTGTGTTGTTTTCTTAAAAGCAACAACAACAACAACAACTTTTTCGAGAGGTTTTTTGGGTGGAGATATGGTTTGTGTGTCAGACGGGCAGGTGTGTCCCATGTTCTGAGCTGCTTCTAAGAAGATTCAATGGGTTGCTTGGCTTCTAGGAACATCAGAAACACACACCTAGTTGGAATCCATCATCCACCCTGATCATTTGGGGCGCGGAGAGGCTCCGACCCAGACTGCAGACCCCGACGCAGGCTTAAGGCTATGAGGGACCTCCGGCTTATGGTGAAGGGTCTCATCGCTGGCATCCGTCCCTCGGGCTTCCGGTTCCAGCACGCCGTGGGCGCAACAGCACGCCTCGGGTATGAGTGGGGACACACCTCCAGGGCACGAAGCAACGTGAGAGGGACATACTACGCTTGGGAAACTTGGGGAAAAGTATGGAGTCGGTTCGACTCATTATGTTTGACTTGGTGGTATCTGCCCAAAAGGCAATCTGCTGGTACCGAGTAACTCTGTGTAAATTTCCGTACTAAGGAAATTGACGTAGAGTTGCTTGGTGCCAGCAGATTCAACATGAATCATTGTACGAATGATACACACTTAGACTGCTTCTGACTGGCCCCGCTAAACACGTTCAACCGGTTGCCCCGTTTCACACGGAACAACGTGTTGGGCCCCGCATGGCCCCGCATGGCCACGTGGTCCGTCGCAGAACGTGACGGACCGGGACGGAGAGACCGAGAAAAGGCTAGGGCCCAGGGGTGAGTTTTTGGGGGGTCAAGGTAGGCCTGGCAGTCCCAGACAGGTGGTGTCTGGGAATTGTAACCAACATGCCCTGACACTCCATGGGACTGCCATATATGCCTACCATGCCTCGGCATATATGGCAGTCCCAGTGGCAGTCCCAGGCCTAGTCGTGTTTGGGATGGTTCGTTGCGTCAGTCCCACCGCGACAGTCCAGTCGTTTTCAGCGTGGCAACGTCGACGGCGAGGGCGAACGAGCACACGAAGCCCGTGAGATCGGACGCGAGGTCCGGTGCTGTGGTTCGTTGTTCTGGTCTGTTCTGGTATGTTTTGGTTCATATGTAATAGATTGTAATACCTAGAACCTCGGGAAAGGCAATCATTTGGGAAAGGCCACCCATAAAAGGCATCGATCTAATGAACAACCCATTTTTGCAAAGAAGAGGTTCTAGGCGTCTGGCGTCTTACATGTCTTTTCATGGCGTCTTCTGACCATTCAATTGTTCACCCCATGAACTTTTCACTATCACTAGCATGATTCTGAAGTCTTTGGGGCAGGCCTTTCCCTGCCCTTTTGGACCTCCATGTCTCTGCCGCCCCAAACATGACACATTTACGGTGTGGGTTTCATGCCCTTCTCAGATTTCGAGATTCTGGAGTAGCATGCCGGGGCAAGCTCCATCATTTGGCCTATTAAATGCTTCTGGATGGGATTCTAACATAAAACTCGTAAAACCTCTTCTGCCTCGGGGGGGTTCCAAACGGAATCGTACGAGTCGAATCACCAGGGATTCGAATGATCACTCAGCTTTGCTCGGCTAAAGCTCGCATCAAACTCCATGACTCCATGACCCTGGACCCATGAGCCTTCGTCAGCTCACATCACACTGTAGAACACCAATCCATGGAATTCGATAGAATCTGTTGCCATCTGCCTACATTCACCCCCCTTCTTCAAAGACCCCAGCCATCCCCAGCCCTATTGGATGTTGTTTTGTTGCTTTACTTCTTAAATCAATTGCCGTGGCCGCGGCCTTGTACTATCTTGTACTGGTCGTGCATCCGATCTCCGCTCGATGAGTTTGGAGTTTGCGACCTGCTCAGGAACCTTGATACTGGCTTTCACGCTTCTGTTCTCCGTGCTCTATGCCGCTCGTTTGAGCAGATGAACAAGTGAGATACCATGAGATATCTGGAGGAACGGTTTTCAGAGTGGAGTCAGAAGGTGCATGGTTGCTTTTATCCTTCCAAAGAAGACACATTTAGGAGAATTGTAGACTCTTGGTTCGTGGAGGATCATGTCTTCAGGACGGGCTATTTTCCACAAAATGCCTTTTCACAAACTTTGACGTATTGCGACAATATTGTGTGAAACCTTCCAAATATGTTTTCCCGGCCCCGGCTGCCTTTTTTTCTCAGAAGTGGCTCATCACGTGTGATCTTAGGTGATTTCCGGCTTTGCTACCATGACCATTGGGAGCTATCCGGAGATGCTTGGTGATCTATATATATATATAACATCCATCCTGGCATGACCCCTTTGTTCACTCTTCACTCCCCTCAGCGGCGGGATGAGGGGGTATGCAATATCTCTGTATGTGCTCATGGTCAATGAATCAGCTAAGCCTGTTGATTGTTGACCCTCCAACGACGGTAAACACCGCTGGTGTGGGAGACCAACAAAGGATTTGGAGACCCCAATGGGTTTCATGATGTTTCATTGCATTTTCTTCGAGGTCGGGAGCAGAGGACGGTGAAATCCCCGACCTCTCACGGTCTGTTTCAAGACATAGGAGTGTGTGATCCCCATGCACCGACCCCAGGGGGATTTTGTTTTTGCCTGGTCTCTGTACCCAGGCGGGGAATTTTTCCCAAGACATGCCCATTTGGATCCGGAAAAAGAAACAACACAGCGCACAGAAAAAATGGGCACGGCGTTGAAGGTCGCAGATGGTCCCACCACGCCCATCTTTTGCATCCAGCGCTGGACAAATCCACAGGATACCATGGATACCGTGCGTTTCAGGACCAAAGATTTACAGCTGGATGGATATTTCAAGTCCCTGCCCCACTCCATGTTCACAGCGTTCCGTTGCTTCACTGGTGAGTGCGTCACTTGGTGAAGACCCGGCGGTACGGAGGACTAAACGATTGGTCGCGGGCGAGTCGCCATGCGACAGCAGCACTTCTTTGGGCCAACGAGAGCTAATAAGCCATTGTGGAACTTGTCATTGTTGGTGGTAATTCCAATGCTCATCATTGATTGATCATTCTTTGCAGATCCCGGGTGGTGACAAGAGGCACCCTTTTGTAACCTTTCTGGGACTTTTCATGGTGATTGCAACAGTGCTGATGTATGTTTCTCCAACACGCACGAGATCCACTTTTTTGGCGGATCTTAATAACAGTTGGCAATCAATTGTTCGGCAAAATCAATTCACACAATTACTAGGACGCAAGTGTTCTTACGTCCTGGTAGATTAGGGGCCCTCGACCTTCAAACAATGGTTGCCCTGGTTGCCATCAAGATCCACCGGACACATCGAGTCCCTCGAGATCTGAGCACCTTCTTCAAGGATCGAACCAGTTCTCATCACATTACACACCTCTGAGACCCTACACCGGAGTCTTCATAAAGCCAAACGCGGAAAACTCCGATCTCACCAACGGTGGAGCTTGGATTGATTGGTCCCCAGAACCGATGATATCCGATGATCAGGCCGGGCTTGTAGACTGCACTAAAATCTAACAGGTAGCTTCTTGTTACTAGTAGCGATGCCAGGAGCCCCTAGTAGCTTCTTGTTACTAGTAGCGATGCCCTTTGTTCCTAGTAGCTTCTCGTTACTGGTAGCAATGCCAGGAGCTACTGTCATTTTCAACAAACACTGGGGTGTCAGGCACCCGTCACTGCTACCGGACCTTCCCATCTTCCCGAAGTCAACTTCAGGCGAGTCCTGATAGCACCAAGCGAGCTCTTGGCTGGTTGGTGTTACTCCACGTCCGCAGCTAAGGTCAACAACGAGGGACATTCCATCACCTCCAAAATGTCCCAGGAGTATGGTTTGTTCTTTGAACTGCCTTATGTCATGAGCCACTGGGCTGCCAGTGCCACACGAACACCTGAAAAAAAGATCATTCTGTGAAGGATGGACTGGCAGTGAGGGGAAAGCAGTGGAGAGGTACTCACTCATCAAAACTGAGGGAAGGAACCTTTCAGTGCATGTCACACAGTATTTGGTTTCAGTTGCACAATTGAGGTCCGTGGACCCATGACCGATGGATTTGAGACACACCTTCGGAAAAGGGCGCTCACTGTAAGGAACCGCTAGAATCGCTCAGACCGTTTTTTCGTAAACTATAATACAGTGAGGCCAGAGTGGCCAAAAAGACAGAATCTACAGGCAGACACAGATATCATTTATACGGATCATCACGGATCCCTGGTGCAATGACCACAACAATGGACCCTATCACTTGGATGATTGGCGTGGCTGGCTGGCGTGACGTACATATGGGCTGGTATAATAACCCCGCGCTCAGCGGTTTAGTATTGGCATGCACCTCAACACTACTAATGCATTCCTACCCCAGAAAACGAATGATTATACCTGCACATTCAGAACAAAAAGCTACTAGGGGCTCCTGGCCTTACTACTAGGAACAAGAAGCTACTAGGGACTCCTGGCCTTACTACTAAGAACAAGAACAAGAAGCTACTAGGGGCTCCTTGCCTTACTACAAAGCAACAAGCAGCTACTATACCAGGAACAAGAAGCTCTTAGGGCTCCTGGCCTCACTACTAGGAACTGAATGGGCTGTTTGGTCCATATGCTGCAGCTGTTTACACGAACCACGAAAATAGCAACCTGCAGAGGTGTCCGGAACGATAACAAAACGAGAACGAAAACGATAAGGAAATGTAGCAAAAATCAGCCCTGGTGGGCAAGTACCCATTTGACTGTTTTCATTAGACCTTTTGAAGGGCAGAAGTGTGCGATGTGGTAGTCTTGTTTAGCTGTCTATATCTTATCTTTGCTGCTGCCATGTCTTTACCACCAAAGACGGTGTACGCCTTGCTACAGGCAGTGCTACGGGATCCTGAAGTAGGACCATGTAGACCACCAAATGACATCTTTTGATTTGTGATCTTCCACCAAAAATGCTTTCACCTGAGAAAACGATAAGAGTAAAAAAGGATAACATGGTTTCGAGTTATTGCAAAAGACACGGGGTTTCTACACTACCCCATATACTTACTTATATATATATATACAGCTGCGCATTACAATAAGGGAACCTCCCGAAGACTCCCTGAAAGATAGGAAATAGACCAAAAACCCTTTGGTTGGGGTCTCCCTATTAAAATACACGCCCATATATGGCTAGTTTCGTCATGGCACCTCCCTAACCAAACCATGGTAGCTTGTCACCCCGAACATCGAGGAATCCGTTCCTTTTCGGTGGTCAACCGGAGTGCCCGGGGGCCATGACACCCATTGACACCCATCGACCCACATATATATATATATACACATAAATATACCCTAATGGGTCCAAGTACCGAGCCTCAGAAGGTGAGGAAGGAGACACTGTCATGAGACAATGCCATTGTCGGGTCCAGTCGTACCGAACCTGAGAAGGTATGTGGATCCCTAGGGATATATATATATAATATTGTATGTACAATATACCAGGACCATCCAATGGGTCACGAATGGACAACCCTCCATCACTTAGGGATCTCCAATTGGACGCCCATTGGATGGTCCAGGTGTGTACACGTCGTAAATGCGTCAATTTCTGGACCAAGTAGAACAATACTAACCAAAATTCATTTATTTCCCCTCTGGGCCCTACCTTCGAATTGGTCCGAGCTGGGAGCCCGATAGTCAGAGGTTCCTGCGCTGTTTTGATCACTAGAATCAATGTTGTTTGACCATCCACTGGAATCCTTGGACAAGTCCCACTGGAGCATGGCCGGTTTTCAGGCTACATGCTCGTGAGCATGGGTATTTTCAATGTCATTTTGGCAGCTTGGCACATGGAGCAGTGCCCTTTTGTTTTTCGCCGGGTCATGTCCCCGCCGACTCTTCTGTGTGACAGGATTATGTCGAAACGACGCATGCAACATGAAACATATTTTCAACGGTCTCCACTACACCAAGGATTTGTCACTCATATTGTGATAACTCTGAGCAAATCACTCTGGCAGCTCTTGGGGGTAAGGTGTCGCGCATGAAAACACATAGCCTTTGCCAAGCCTGAAACACTGGAAAGAAGACCAACATCCTGAATCATACTGTAGTGTAGGCTTTGTGTTGTTGGACTTTTGATGCATCCTGAATCCGGTATAACATCTTATAGGTTGCTTTGGGCTCAGGTGTCATGCGGTTTGAAAGATTTGAGGTGTCATTGCGGTGAAGGTCCAAGGTTGCTTTGTCCAATCTCTCATCAAGTTTCCCTGATGACAAATAATGTGGGTCAACGCTAGACACCCCAAAACATGGGCTGGTCACATCCCTGGTGGCCCAGCTGGGCTCATTTTCATTGGCCAACCAGGGTCCAACCAGGTGCCAATTACGGCATCACGACCAAGCATGGGCTGTGAATTTGGCAGACCGACACAATAGAACTATAGAACTAGTTCTAATTCTCAGAACCAGGTCCAGGTGATGCCTTTTTCCCCTTTTTTTGATATAACCAGAGATTCTCGCCCCAAGTATGGCTCATGACGCTCAAGCGACATCCTGTCACAACTTCTAAAAAGCTCCTCACCCTCCTAACCTCTCCCATCCGCCAAGGCCGTGTATGTGGACATCACCATGAAAGCGGCGAAGGACCGACGTGCCGCTGAAACAGCGGCGAAGATGTGGTTCTTCGGATCTGTGGTCGGTGTGCGTGCCATGACAGACATATCGAGTATTTAGAAGACCGACAGATGTCAAGGACATTACCAGAAATAAGATGAAATGCTGTATATGTTCCAAATTTGTGGTCCTCCCTAATTTCTGAGAAGGATTCCTTGGTGTCCCTTTCATTCTTACAAGTTGCTTCAGCTCATCAAACGCGGGCCGCGGGTGCTTTTTGAGGAGAATGAAGCGCAGACGGCCGAGCAGCACGCGCGGGAATCCATTCGCATTGCTAGAACCACCCGAGAGCTGCTGAAGAAGTTTGCTGCGGCCTATCACCTGCCACCGGGCCATCACAGCGAGATAAACAGGCACTAGTATATAGTAATTTAGAAACATATTTGAATTTGCATAAACAAAGTTTGCTATTTTGTGTTATATTTGTTGGGGGGTCGAAGAAAGAAATCATCAAAACATGTGGGAGAAGAACCTGTCTTGCATTGCAATCGGTTGAATCAGCTCATTTTGGTGTGGGGTCCTGGCAGATCCATGGCCAAGTTATAAGTGGGGCAGTCGTTGACCCAGGGCTTTTTAAGAAATATAGTGATTGACTCATGGCTGTTCCAGGGTCCATGTCTCTTTCCGGGGCAGAGTCGGAGGGTCGGAGCTTTTAAGAGACGGATTTGTTGCCCAGCCTCTCATCCTGCTTAGCCTCGCGTCGCAAACAACCGCACGAAGACGCACACAGGTTTGCCCCAAGTGCCGAAAGATTGAGTGTCCGAGTGACCAGTCTCGAACCAGAAAAATCACGCGCAGACGTCACCTCAAACGTGGGAGTGGGCTGAACACTGAAAGATGGAGTTCCCTTTGTATGAGTCACAATTCAGTGCTTCAATTATTTCCCTTTGCCAGTTTCTCTTCTTTCCAGAGAATTATATCAGTGTGGCAGGTCCTGAATGATAAAATATGATCAATTATTTGAGAACAAACAGACACCCCAGTTCTCCTACCTACTTCCCGGTTGCTCCGACTCGTCGTTGGTCCGTTCTTTTTTTTGCGAACACGCGAGTTTCGCGAAAACGGGACGCGAAGCCGCAGGGCTCGGTGGGTCGAAAACGACGGTCGTTCGCCGTGTTCGCCGAGGTACCAAGAGATGGAAGAGAACAGCACGACGGATCGCTTGGAGATTCGAGCATCTGCAGCACTCTTCACTGATGATGAGCTACAGGAAAACATCGCACCTGGGCCGTACTTACTTGGTATGTGGAAGAATCTGTCCACTTGAAACCGAGAAAGGACGTGGAGTTCCGAAGTCAACAATCCATATTATACTGATTTATACTGTATGTATATATTATATACACACCTAGAACCTAAGCGACCCTTGTTACTTTTGGATCATCAACTATCCAAAATATGGTCCTTGTCTATCAAAAGCCGACGTCATGTCTGGGTTCTAGGTAGACATATTTTTATGGTTGTCTCCAAGTCCAAGTCCCTCACACACACACACACCCCAGACATATCCGGAGATCCTTGGGTATTCAGAACAATCCTTGAACATCTGCGGAATTGAACGGGCCGATTAGTTTCGTTTGGTTTCTCGGCAAAAGCAGGTGTGTTCTTTTTGTTGTGGCCTTTTGATGGTGACATAGGTGGAGATATACAGTGGGTGGAGATTCGATGAGATTCGTTGCTAGGATGATATCCACACAGGTTGAATATTATAGGTTGATGTCAGTGGTACAGTTAAACACAACTACTGTAGGTGGATTGATATGCAGTCATGTTCAGTCCAAGTGTCAAAAGATGGCACTGGACACAATCTCTTGCAGCTTCTTGGGAGCCAAGCATAGAGACCTGAATATTTGGTCAATGACAATTTTACAGTGCTCAACAAATGCCGGACTTTGATGCCACACAAGACTCCACAAATCTCTACAGAAACTTGCCAAACAGTGAAGTAGTATTGATCTAAAGGCAATCCATAAGTTGAATCTGTAAATAGGAATATATAGGAAAATGTATTTTTGGCCATGGTTGCTGATTGGAATTTCTCGCATAGTCAGCAATGTAATGGTGGTTTACCTGGCCTGCCCATGTCTAATGGAACAACACAAATGGGACCTGACCGTTGTTCGAACGGACCCCCTGCATCGTCGGAGCTCTTTGTTCGTTGGAGCTAGGCAGCTAGCTGTACCTGGTGAAGCTGTAAGCCTTGCATTGTTGTAATATGTTGTAATTGTAATGGTCATGAATGAACGATACACAGATCGACATGTGAACAACAAGGTTATTTTTTTTTTTTGGGGGGGGTCTTGGTAAACATTATGTTTGGTTCTTTATGGTGGTTTTGTTCTTTTCTTTTACCCTACGCAAGCTTTCCATGTACCTTGAGTTCCCAGGAAATCACCAAGGAGTTGTTCTTGCGGCTCAGTCGCAAAAAGAGCCGAGCCTTTTGGTTGTTTTGTTGACGGCAAATGTGTTGAGTGGATGACAAGTATGTAAACGGCTGTGTGAGTATGTGTTGAGTGGGTGTGTTGATGTATTGAACATTAAAATTGTTGAACTGCCAGGTGACATTGATCTTGGAACATATTTTGAGGTTACCTTTATATACCTGTATCTTGAGATCATTGTGTGGGGCCATTGCTTGGAAGTGTTGTGTTGCTCTCAACGTGTTTCTATCACTGTAGTGATTCCTTTTGTGCACAGCCCAGTATCGGTTCAGTATTGGATCATTTGGATCTCATTGACCTTCATCCAATTTACTGTAGTTTGTTCTTTTTGTCAACGTACATCGAAATAATTTGAATAATATTAAGACCAAGAGCTGATCTGGGGTGGACCAGATCAAGTGATCTTCAAGTAGCCGGACGCACGATATTGCAACAAACTTTCTTTTTCATTGCAGCAACCTTGACAGGGCAAGCCCAGCAATGTCAGGTGTATATAGGAAGATGCTTGTCGTGCGTTCTTGTTTCTATTGGATACCTTAGACAGATCAAGCGACCCTTAGACAGGCCTGGATGAGAGTACTCAGTAGTGCGGACTCAAGCCCTACCCACAGTCGGCACAGGTTTGTGATTCATGTTTAGAAGACACCTAACCTGGAAGAGAAACATGTCCTCAACCTGAAACACTGATTTCCCAAAAAGTAACAGTCGACGAGCAGGAGAATTCCTTTTCATTTGCAGAGTTCTCGATACTATTCTTCGTAGGCCTTCAGTCGCTTTGCCTTCGTCACCTTCGCGTCCTTTTTCCCTTTTCCCTCTTCATCTCTTCGCTTTATGTTCGCTTGATGTCCAAGGCTAGTGATCCAGGACCGGGACGTGCAGATGTTAATGGACGGCTTAGATCTGCCTCCGGATCGGGCCAACCTCTTCGAGCGCCTCGGAACTGCGGGTCCCGCGGTCGCCGATGTCGTGCCGCGCCGATGGATGCGGATGGATCATGTGTTTTTGTTAGACAATCGTCAAGGTTGAGCTTGGGATGTTCGCTTCTCGCATACCATGTAATAGAGTATTACTCTTGAAGATAGCTACTGCAAAAGGCATGTCACATGTGCAGACCCCCCAGGCAACTAGATTGTTTTTGTTGGCTCCAGGACTCCAGCACAGCGTAAACACGCCCTCCTGTTGCAAGCCCACACTGCTGTGCCTTGATACATTTTGTCGGCAAGCAAATTGATCGACATTTGAGAGCTGTTGGGTTGTCTTGGGGGTATTGAGGTTTGTAAGTATGGGTTTCTTGTGATAAGCTCGACGCTCAACAGTCTGGGACTCGAAACCGTTCTGCTGTGCATGAAAGAGTTGCAGTCTCACACACACGGTTTTTCAAGGATTGGCTGGTGGATCTTAAGTCAGAAACACTAGGTGGAAAGCCTAGCAGGATCTAGCAGGTGCATGTCTTCAATTCCTTCAATTTATTCCATGTTTCTTTGCTTGGCATCATCTAGCATGAGGGCTGGAAAATGCTCTGGACTGTGTTCTGACGTCCTTGTTGGCATGTGTTCTGACATTTGTCCTGCCGTGAAGTCTGACATGTTGTGTGACATATGGTCTGGCTTCGGTTCTGACATGAGTTCTGTCATGTGCCCTGCCATGTGCTCCGACCTTTGTTCTGCCATCAAAATTGCCACTTGTTCCGACATATGCTCTGATATAGTTTGTGACATGATTTATGTTATATCAATGTATGTAATTATGTGATTTGGCACTCTATTTTGCAAATATGCTGACATCAACACCGGTGTATCTTCTGACATCCATTCTTGCTTACCTTCTGGCATTTTGTCTGACAATCGTTCCGGCAAGCTATCTGGCATATCTTCCGGCATTATTTTTATCAAACACTCATTAGCTACTTCCTTTCTGGCACTCAACCAAGCATATCTCCAGGCAATAAAGATAATAAAGCGGGCATATTTTGTGGCACTCTTTCTGGCATATTTTCTGACATCCTTTCTCGCACTCTGTCTGGCATATATCTGACATCCTTTCTATCCGGCAATGCTTCTGACGTTATTCTTCATTCTTCATATCTTCTGGCATATCTCTTGGCATCAGGCATTCTCGATGGTGTGCGCGCCCGTGCGTGCCCATACTGTGCTGGCTGCCTCTCCATGGTGCGCAGGACCGTGCGTGCCCAGCCTGACCTGACGGTCTCTATGGCGGGCAGGCCCGTGCATGTCCAGCCCGGCCTAGCGCTCACTATGTGCGCAGGTCCGCTCGTGCCCAGACTGAGCTGGCGTTCTCTATGGTGTGCAGGTCCGCGCGTGCCCAGACTGACCTGGTGCTCTCTATGGTGTCGTGTTCGCCCAGACTGCCTTGCCCCTTTCTATGATGGTGTTTTGGCTCTCGCTGATAACAAAAACGACAACGCAGCGAGGCAAAAGCACCTTTCCGTAGAGAGCACGCAGTGCACTGTATACTACACATGTTGCAGTTCATCAAAGCACTGTAAGAAGGATAGGGAAGAACAAACGCGATATCGTCAAACGTGTTATGGGAGTCTATTGGGGAATATTGAGCTGTTTCCAGACAACTTCACCTGCAGCTACGGTTTCGCAACAACATCGCGTGATTTCCGCGATACCAGGATCATTGATGCAGATGGTAGTGGCACACTCCACATTGCAGAGCTGGTTCAGGGTTTGCTGAAGATTCGGGGAGAGGCTGGTGGTTTCAGCAAAATGTGAGTGTACGATTTTCAAGTCAATGAAACGGACTGCCAGAGCGTCCCGTAAAACAGATGTCTTTTTTGGAAACTCGGAAAGCATCGTATTCATTCCTTTAATTTCCTTACATGTTCAGTGAGGTCAACCGTTAACCTGGAAAACGTCGAATCTATTCGAACGACATTGATGTGTACTTATAAGTTCCTGGAACTTGGGTGACCATCCCCATCCATTCCGCATGTGTTGGACAGCAAACAATGAGTTGCAGTTGTTCTGTATATGAAAATTGTTGTGTTATAGGTTCAAGGTTCAAGTATGTTCACACTTCTAGGGCCCAATTAACTTATTGATATAGTGACACATCCGATCTTCAAACCCTAAACCATCCACGCCGCTATTCGTGCAACTGCTGGATCCCCGTGGCCCAAACGTTGGAGTGTAGTCAGAACATCACTCTGATGACTGTCTCTTCGCTCCAGTTCGACTAGCTCCAAACCTCCAGATCGACCCTCAATTCAGCTGGAAGCACTGGATTCCCCTACCATTTGGAAGTATTGGAAGCATTTGAATTCCCCTACCAGTTGATGTCTTCAAACAGCTTTCCCAGTCGAACCTTGGCAATTTTCTCATGGCAGCCACGGTCGCTGGTCTTTGCAATTCTCCCAGTGGTTTCTCCACAATCTCCACGCATTTGACGGTGTCCCGCAGGTGAACAAGAGCGACACTGTGGCGGCCTTGTTGGCCACGAAAGCAGCGCAGAACATGCTCCTGGAGACCCGTCCCTTGGTGAAGTTCAAACAGTCCCAGACAGAAAACGCCCTGACGCTGGAAAATTGAAGAAATGTTTTGGGCCTTCGTTGTTGGGTTCTGGGGTTGCACCGTCACGATGATGCAATGGACGTGTCAGATTTCTTAGAAATGGACATCGGGCGGACTAGTGGTATGAAAGCATGCACAAACACTTAAGTTTGAACAGAAAAGATCAGTAAAGTTATAGCCGGAGTTGGGTGTCCTGTATTGTACTGGCTTGAACAGTACCATGAATAGGATCGGGTTGCACATGGATTTTGTGTTGCTTAATTTTGTTGAGATATCTTCCTCAGCACCAAACCTCAGAGGATATGTGTGTCTCAAGGGTTTAACTTAGGTTTGGATTGCTGATTGTTGTTTCGTGTGATGTAGTTGAAGGATGTTGAAAGGTAGATCACCACTGTTTTGAGGCAACCACCTGTGTAGACTGTATAATTCTGGCCGTTTCTGTTTAAGGTAAACAAGTCGATGGGTTGCAGTGGTGCTTTTCCAAGTCACTTCAGGCAGTCTTTCTCCGTCGATGAGCACAAGCCTTGAACACCCGAGAAACCCATGTATGTGTCAACTGAGCAGCTAGCTCATCAGCTTAAAACAATAGTCGTCATAAATGATATGATGTTCAGACGTTTTGAGTGGTGGCACATGGTGGCACCATCAAACACCGACCTGATCTCAGTCCTCCGTTACTTGAGCAGATTCCAAATGACGCATTTGTGACCGATTTCGAAGCGAGATCTTGCGCCGAAGGGCACATGTCAGGGCTTTGGTCGTGTCGTGGCAAGTCTTGCTTCTCTTTCGAAGTGATCCGCACACGTTCTTCGTGAGGACACCAATTGCTGAACAATCTGGATGAACTAAAAACAGAACTGCTTGGAATCTTGATTGCACTCACAGGTCGGAGCTGCATGGGGACTGGCTGAAAATACACGAGAAGTCCCAAGAACCATGAAGAACCATGAGTCATGAGGACAGACCAACGAGCCTTGGCACTGGGGTTCTCTGAAAAATAGAACAAACACGGCTGCGGCTCATAGCTAAGCATCCAAGACCATGGTCAGCGAACGACGACGATGGCAATTCGAGCATGTTTATCAGTTGCAAGTAAAACTGATGATGATGGTGATGGTGCTGTGGCTCTAAAATAAGCAAGACACACGGGCACCCACAGTCACCCACGGGCACCTGGGTGGTCGTTGGTCGTTGTGTTTTTGGCCCACGAAATCCACGCGGTGACTGCTGGTTTGGGTGTTTCAAGCAGTTCGAAGGCTTTGGGTTCAACGCTGCTTGTTACCTTCGAAGAAGCATCGTTCAGGGATAGATCGAAACGAAGCGTCGTTGTATTTCATGTAACTGAAATCGAGACTCCATGCAACTGAAATACAAGCCTACATTGACTCCTGAAACCACCCCAATGTAGGTATATATGGCAGTCCCAAGGAGTGTAAGGGTTATTCAATTGCAAAGTTTGTCTCACTCTATGGCGTTTTTGAAGTTGGACAACTTGTTGAGAGACCAATCTTTCACAAGCGAGCAAACCCTGGAAGAAGGCCGCCAGCCCCGCGAATAATTTGCACCCTGTGAAGCGATGGTGGGGATTGGTTGTTATGTTCACTGAGAAAAAATAAAAGATATGCAAGTGAATCCATAGAGACCCATCTACTCGTGATAATGACCCACACGGCGCGTGTTGATCTCCAGACTGGATTTTTATGGGTTTTCTGTTTAAGCCTTCCTATGTACATAAAGGTTTAAGATACATGAAGTGTGCTTGTGGTTTTGATGAAAAGAAGAACTAGTACTACCAGCAAGATGATAGGACCTTCTTGTTTTGATGGATAGGACCTTCTTGAATTGCTTGACTTTTGATGGACATGTTGACCGTCCGTTCTTCCACTCGTGGACCAGAGAATGGTCGAGATGATGGGCCCGCTGGGTCATTGAGTTGTTTGTTTCAATTTGTTTTATGTTCTTTCTATTCTTTGAGGTTGAACCAGGTTTGGAACCTTCTCATCAACATGACATCATGACCGGATGTGATATGTTTCCCTACAGGGATCCACATTATGACCTATCATATCACACAGTTGAACACGTTTGTTGGAGGACCGTCCCAGGTATCACCAGGTTGGTTCTCTGACCCTCCAATTCGTTTGGGCTGTTGCAACAGCGAATGGCCGAGGACTCATCTATGAGCAGCAACTTAGCAGGGGCCGCGGGCAGGTAATCGAGTGCTCCTGAAAAAGAAAAACAACTGGCCCTGTCGTTCACCAGACGACCAGTGGGCCGCTGCCAATCCTCATCTCCTCATCGATATCCCAAAGCTCACTCACGTTTGGCAGCTTCCAGGACCGGTTCCTCCTTTAGTTCAACACCTCAATGCTCGCTTGGATTCGGGTGTTTTTCTTATTTTCCGGTGGTGTGTGCTTTTTGGTGGACCATGCCTCGCGGTGTCATGGTGTCATTGATAGGTGAAGTGCATGACCTGGCCAGCGTTGAAATGGAAGACACATGGATCTCTTTGCGACCTTTGTCCACTCTTCTTCCAACTAGATTGACGCGACGCGTTCTTGGCTAGATCTGGGAATCTGCTTCGCCGTGAAAGAACTGGGGCAGCGCTGGTGCGTTGAGGGGATTGTGCTTAAGAAGCTGGAGAACAAATCACTCCCCATCATGTATGGAGTGTAGACGGTTGATGAATAGCTAATAACCCCCCTAATTGCTCAAATGGTTCTACAATGCTTTACACCTTCATCAGGTGGGAGATTTGATCCAGTCTCCATGACAGTCTGAAGGAACCTGTGGGATTCCTCCGAGGCAGGTGAAGATGCGCAAGGCCTTGGCCACGATCAGCTCCCCAGCGACCACGCCCGAGCTGAACTCCATCAGCCGGCCACAGTCGCTCATCTCTGGGGAGACAGGAAGGTGGGTTTAGGGTTTAGGGATGGTTTTTTTGGACAGGCATGGAAGGACAGCAAGACATTGGAAGACCGTAGTAGCTAAGGGCATTACTACTAGTAACAAGAAGCTACTACTCGTAGTAGCAAGGTGCATCGCTACACCTACATGATCCGAAACTCCGAGACTCCTTGACCAGCAATCACAAGAATACCAGCAAAGGCTGTGTTCATGAGATGTGTTATTTGTGTATAATATATATATATGCGCTTTCTTTTGTGAACGACACACATGTTTTTGCTAGAGTTGCTCATATACATATATACATATATGACAATTGAGGGGGTACCATATATAAATATTTAATATTTACTATACTCATACTATATATACATGTGCGGTTGTATGATATATATATATAGTTTGTTTCCTGGGTGTTGCTTCTCTCATGAAGCATTATGTTTTTAACAACGTCAAGCAACATTTCAACACATGTTTAACGTATTTCAGTGTTTCATGTTTCAATAACATCGCCTCATAGGTTACACTCTCAGTAGCTGAATTGGTCTGAGATCAGCCTCATTTGCAGCTTTGCTGGTGGGAGGCACTATCCAACAGAAAAGCACAACAATCGCTGTGCCATCAGGTCGAAAGGACTTGTACAAGTGATTATAAGGGATCTTTTGCAAAACCAGGCGATGCTTTCAGGTCACTTTGAAGAACCAGAAGTAAAGCGGCATCCTGAAAGTTGTTTAACCCTTTCATGCAGGCCTTCTCCAAACCTTCTTTTCTTGGACCCAAAGCTTTCGGACCTGGACATCACATAATAGGTGTCTCCCGTTTTGTCCACTCAAAAGGACATTTAAGATAGAACCGGATCCATGCTCTTTGGCAGTCAGGCTGCACCGCAGTGAACCAAACAGACTGCCTTTCACCCTCGTCCCGAGGCACGTGGCCAGCGGAGCGGCGGCCAGACTGAAGCACTTTGACCGCGAGACCTCAAGGTCGTCCTCGGAGAGGGGGTCGCCTGGATGGACCGGTGACGTTTGGCCTTTGGAAACCATGAGCCTTGGACGTGTTGGAGACGTTGAGAACAGGTGAAGAAACATGAAGAAACAGCTTCAGTGTTGAACTTTGTTAGGTATGGTGGGTTGGAAGATGATTTTCCTCTAATTGCGGTTGTTTGTTGTTTGTCGGTTTGTTTTTTTGTTGTTGGTCATTGGTCTGTGACCTTCCGCGCGTGGCCGAGGAAGTTGCCTCGGAGACCGGCTGCTTGGCACGGAGACCGGCTGCTGTCGGGTCGACCGGAGCTGAAAGGGCTTTTGAGATCGCATTGCACAGCAGGGAGAGGGAACTTGAGGTATGAGGATTATATAAAATGTAGGTCCTTATCTCTATATATCTCGGTTTCGAAGCTGGTTTGGGTGGGTGCCAGGGAGGTCTAACTCCCTTTTTGAGGATCTACGGTGTGCACATCTTGTTTTGGAAGCTCCGATGTGCTGGATGTTCCGAAGGCCAATGACCCCGCGGCCGCCTCACCAAGCTCGACTGTTGGGTCACGCGTTTGGACTGGCACATCGTCCCCAACAAAGGATTGCAGTTGGATGCAACGATCAGTTTCCGAAGAAGTTGCCCTGCTTCAAGCCACACGTTTTGGTACTATAGAGTTGTCCTTTTCAAGGGACGTTTTGGTATAGAGTTGCCATTGTCCAGGGACCAAGGGGATTTTGAGTGGCACCCAGCCCTTTGAGCCATAGTAGCCACGTCACCTCTAGTGCAAGGTAAAGGCGGGACCATCGACTCATGTACACGAATCTTGATTCTCTTTCCCAAAAAGGCTGTCGCACAGTCCACAGCTGGTCGCATGCTATTTTTCCAAGTGCGCCCCAGAATCGATGGTAAATCTCCATTTAAAGATATTTAAAGCATATCGAAGAACTGTTTCCCAGACACTCCATGGGACGGCCATATATGCCTACATTGGGGTGGTTTGGGGGGTCAATGCAGGCATATGTGGCAGTCCCATGGAGTGTTTGGGGTTTGTTTGGCCACTTCCGTTTAACGGATGGACCCCCCAACACTTTGCGTGTGATCTTTCATCTCAGGAAGCCGTGGTGGAAGAAGAGGATGCCACTTGGCACTCGATGGCACGATCCAGGTCCACTGCCCCGAATTCCAGGTCCATGCGCCGTACCACGCGCCGTACCCGGGACCAAGCGGTCAGACCAGGGCCATTTTGCGGGGCGACCGGGGAGTTGGTCGCATCGAAGATAGAGCTGTCGTAGGGTCCGAACCATGGATCATGGATCATCCATCAATGGGTGTTTGATCTTAGCCGAGAAAAAAAAGGAAAAGGAAGCAAGCTTGACTGGCAGGAGTGTCAGGTTTGCACCTGTTCATCCCCTGACATCCCACATCCGATGTCACTGCATGTCGGCTGCATCCACCCCCATGGAGCTCAGGCCGCTGGAGTCCGTTGACCCTTGAGGCCTTCCCTCGGTCATTGAGTCGGTGGACCGCAGAAGGTTGATTTGAACACCGTGAAACTCCTCCCCTGTGGTAGGTCTTCGAAATGCCCCAACTATGGTTTGTGCTAACTCACCGGGTTCGTCAGGGTTATCCCAAGAATATATACACCTTACATCGCGTGTGATATCCTCCAAGACCCGCGGCGTTTGCCGCCAAGGCCATTCCGGCACCTCCAACTCTTGATTGAGGGACCGCCCAAACGGGTGCGTTTCACGCGGACCGCGCGGACGGGCAAACACGAATGCACTTGTGAGGCGAACGCCTGGCCTGGCGAAGTTAGATTGACCTCTAACTCACTTGACTTGCAATTGAACTGGTTTCATTTCAAATGTCTGGACTTGATCCAAATTAATGAGAGCCACTCGGAAACATAAATGTTCATCCAATAACACCAATGAGAGGTTTGGATGCCCGCATGATGCACGTGTTTGACTGGACCCCTCATGATTTCAAACCTCAGATGATGGAGCTGGCCACCGTGTAACAGTGTAGTCGACCTCGTCACAACGAGAGACATCGGCATGCCCCAATGATGTCATGGACTGAGAATACAAGCCAACTGGGCTTTGCCTCCCCAAGAAACCAGGAATTGCAACATGTTGTTAACCTCTCAAGTGCAAGGTCCCCCTAGCTTCGCAACAGTTTTTCATCTTCGGCAGCTACAGGGCATAGTATTCCTTTTGGCCCCCCCCATTCCCCAAACTGGGGCGATCCGATGGCGATTCGGATTCACACGTCTTGGGTCAGCTGCGGATCAAATTCACACGTCCGATGTTCATGGCAGGTGTGGGACGGTGAATTACACAAAGTTGCATTTGTTTTTCACAGAAGACATTCCGGTGTGAGAAATGACCGCCCACACCATTCTAGGCTGTAGGACTCTGGGGGGAAAGGGCTGTGATTTCGAAGCGCAGATATTGTCTGGCTAGCGGCGGCCCGTGTATTACGGGCACATCTTCTATCCCGTCCAAAAGGAGGTTGACCTATGGTAAAAACCTTCGTTGACTCCATGTGTTGGCAGACTCCACCATCTGAAGGGTTTCCGCCAAAACCCACGCGTCTTCGACCGAATGGTCTGGACCGAACCGGCGATGGCACCCCCTCGGTGTTGAGCGCCAAGACCACGACGGCAAAGCAATGACAGCGCATGAACCCGCGGCGGACGCGTGTTTTTGTTCTTGGTGGTTTTCGGCTGGTTTGGTGTAATGGCCAATTCACGTCATTCACCGGAGAAACGCCACGGGTTTCTCGCCACTTTGAAGGTACTTGGCGACCCGGTGGACCCATGTGTTCATGGGTTCGACCCCCCCCCCCCGAGCCTTTGATTCGCTTCCAGCACTAAGGAGATTTGCATCACGCAAAGTGCTAAGGGATTGCCAAACAAAGCTAAGTACAAAGGGCCAAACCCGGGCAGGAGTCTTGTAGGATAAGAAGCAAATCGATGGGACATGGATTTGTTTTTTTTCAGGGGATTCATGCCCGGCATCCCTGTGCAACCGGCGTTTGGTACAGCTCGGTGCCCCCACTGGTCGTAGCCCAAAACGCCCCTCAAACAGCTCGGTGGCACGGTAGCGCGGGAGGTTCGCATTGCCCCTTCTTGGATGGCCAGATACCCTTCACCAAGGCCAGGGCTGCTCAGATGCGCATCACACAGAGTGGAATGCTGGCCCCAAAGGCGTAGGAAAATATGGCCGGCGATAGATTCAGGGAAGAACATCGGCGGCCATCAAGATCCATCAAGTATGTTTATTTTAATATATAACTATATATATGAATATATGTTTATTACTATATATGTATATTATATATGTGTACATGTTACATCTTGTTTTTGTCGGGTGTGTATTTTAGACATCTCTTTTTGCCAGACGGGGATGACATTTGCAACAACACCTTGACGTCCCTCCGCCTCGGGTCGAACTCCGCGTAGATGGAGCGATGTCGTGGGGCGGAGGTCGAGCAAGATCGAAGCTCCACACAGATGTCACCTGAGGGGTTTTGGAAGGTACCAAGAACAAGCCCTGTGCCAAACTGACCAAAGAACATGACGAACCAGTTGGTGCTCGGCATCGAGCAGAAACGACGTTTGGACTTCGTCCTGCATTCTTGGAGGGCATGCTGGTGCCAAGTCTGTGACAGCACCTCTTGTAGTTTAAAGGTCCTTTTTTGCTGGTGAAGCACTTTTGTATCTCCAAGACCGGTCTTCTTCGTCATCGCCCGGTCGACCCTCTCAACGTTCGACCGATCTCGCGGAATCAGAGACCACGGACAGCTTGGCGGTCTGGTTCGATGGGTTCGGTCGCTTTTGCAGGTGGCCCCCGAGTTGGGAAGCTTTACACTCTCCTGCTGGGCAGACACCTGTGAGCCTTGGCAGATCTTGGCAGCATGCGTTCTTCGTTCGTTTTTTTTTTCATGTGGGCAGATGGAGCAATTCCATTTGGGATTGGAAATGGACTTGGAAATTCTCTGTGGAATTGGATACTATGTAGAGGGGGTTTCTTGAAATGATTGGCGCCGCTGATTTTGGGAGTGTTCATCCACGACAGAAAAGCGTGGCTCATTTATATATCATCCACGAAACCTGAAGGAGCATCCAGAAGACCGACAGAACATCCGATCATCTCCGATTGGTTCTGTACGTCATTGTCGAATCATATATGGGATTATGGGAGATGCTCCAACTAATGCTTCTCTCCTCCAGTCTTATCCCAGAACTGGGCGAACTGGATGTTTTTGGTCCAGAACATGACTGTGAGTCACGGCACCAGACCTCCCGGAAGAAAACAGGAACAGAATGGACGCAGCATTCAACCGACCGATCCCTTTGGTTTTGGAGGTTTGGGTTAAAAACACGAGTGTTTTAGGATCATTTATATAGGCAATTTGAGTGATGCGGTTGATGTTTTCTGCACAGCTATTCCTGGTATACCGTTCAATAATGAAGGAAGGAAGACATCCAACAAAGAACCGTAATGTAGATTGATCAGATCTCAGCAATTACAGACAGTGGATTGTACAAGAAAACGATTCAACAGAGGGTACACCCTCCTCCAGTATGGACCTGTGACATGTATCCCATCCATGCAACATGTGTTTGCGTCCTATGCACCTGGCTGGTGCTGTCCCCAATTCTCACTGCAGTGTGAAGAAGTTAACGCCCCTTCTCCTGAGCGACCAAATTCAGGCTCGAACTGGGAGTATATAGGAATTGGGCCTGAACCCGACGTCGGTGGTTTTAGTTTGAGGTGGACATGAAGGAGATGAAGGATCGCAAGAATCCAACTTCGCCTGGGAAGGTCCCAGAGACCCAGAAATGTATCTATAGATAATATATATAATATATAGTTTGAATTCTTCTGGCCTCAGCTCAGAAAATCACATGATGACATATGTCGCTTTGCATTCATCAGGTCCTGGAGTTTTTTCGAGGGCTTCCTGGCAGAGACCTAGGGCGAGCCACCAGGCGATTTTTCCAGCCTTGCGGGTGATTTTAAGGCGGCGATTTCCTGCCCCCAAAATCGCCTTGGCCGGTTTGTGCCAAATGCTATGGCGTGAATGAATGGGCGCTTTTGTTACGATTTTGTGGGGATTTCTTTGGAATCATCCTGGCTTAGAATTCAACACACATGCTTGTTGCGGTTTGGTCTGACAGGTGACAATCAGTTTGGTGATATCTTTGGAGTACAGCTGCAGCAAACTGATCAGGGCTACATGCCAAAAATGGTGGCTGAAGATGCTGCAGATCAGACCATATGTGTGGATCTTCAATCCATTTTCACATCCTGGAAGACGATGTCCTTATCATTTCCTACTACTACTGTGTGTTCTCTTTTCGGCTTTCCAGAAGTCCGACTCTTCCGAACCTCGGGGGGCAGACCCCTTAGAGCACATCACCTTGGCACGCCCAATTCACATTCCGCCTCTCCGATCACGGGCGGATTTCGCCGGGCCATCGCTGTAGTGCTTGACTCAGAGATGGACCGAACTCGGCTGAAAAGCGCCACGTGTTGTTTTCGGAAGGAAGGAAGGAAGGAAGGGATTTCTGGGAAGCAGGGGGGTAGGGACAAAACACCGAAACACCGATTCGACCGGTCTTTGTTCTTTTTCTGGCCTACAAGTTCTTGGTGGTGATTTGTTGGAGCTGGTAGATTGGCCGCGTTTGAGAGGAACCGTAGACCTATTCCTGTGGGATTCCTTCTTGCTCAGCTATACAACTGATCAAAGAGAACGGACTGAACATACTCCATGCACCAGAGTGTTTTCGCTGAGGAACTGGATGTTTGTCTCGGTTGACTGGACAGCATCTGGTTGGCCACAAAACACATGACCTGCCCACATCGGGACGGGTCATTGAACAGTGGGTTGAAGCCCATATGTATTATATATATAATATATATACACATAATGTACTGTATATTATACAGATCGATGTATACCGTCTTACCATGGTCTTTATTCTGGGAGTTGGGACATTTCTGCGACCACCTCACACCATCAAAGAATTATCAAAGACAGGTCATGACCCAGGAGAACCATGGGAAGACCCGTGTTGTCTTCATGGTCTCGTTTTCTGAATTGAGTGGAGGCCATAGCTATTAGGTTGGAGGCCATAGCTATTAGGTTGGAGGCCATCGCTATTAGGTTGGAGGCCATTGCTGGGTATCAGAAAGCATATAACATATATCACTTCAAGAGTGCCCTAAAAGCACCTTCGCGCCGCGCCGCTCCCTTTGGCTCGGCAGCTGGCCGCACACGCACCGCCCAAAAGCGCACGAACGCACGGTCTACGGTAGTGGGAAGATGCCGCCAAAGGCTGACAAGAAAGCCGCGCCGAAGGCGGCAGCGAAGGAGAACAGCCGTGGGAAAGAACAGCCGTGCTTGCGTTGTGGATGGTTTCAAAAGCCAAGAGGTGGCTTCAAGGGATTCCAATATGATGGAGCACGTTTCATTTGACCTTAGACCACTTAGTAAAAGACTTGACATTGGGTTTGAAACATTTGCAGGCTCCTTGGAAAACGACAATACACTCATCAACAAAGGACAACACCGTGTCTATAACAGGTCAATATTTTTTGGCAGGGGTGATGTGTCATTCCAAGGACCATTCTGTCGGAAACCACGTTTTTTAACCTCACTATGGGTTTTGTGTGGGTTGCTCCTTGTAAACCACCCAATTCTGGTAATCAC